CTCAATCTAGATAGTATTATATCACAGTGCTTTATTTTCTATGATGCTCAAGATACATAATGTGCTTTCATAAACATAGAAGCTATTAGTAGGTAATTTGTGTAGTGCTAAAGATATAATCACAATGATTGAAGCAAATAAATATAAAAAATTTAAAAAGCTATATTTTCCATGAAGACACATCTTCATATTCTACCACTGGTTTAATTAGAAAATAAGAAAGTAAGATCAGAACTCTCTGTACTATTAACTTTCAAAGGAATCCAGCAGAACAGAATGAATGAGGTAAAAATAATTTGTGTTTCAAATGTTAGAATAAAATTAAAGTGACAGATCAAAGTAAAGAGGTGAGAAATTTCAGAGAAACCATTGCTAATAAAACTTAAGATTTCATAATATTTTGTCATTTACAATTCTTTTTAAATAAATGCAGATATAATTTAAATTTAAATTTATTTAAAAATAATCTGGCTTTAAAAAGTATAGACTGAACACTATAACTGGTTTCATAAGCTGAAATGATGGATTCAACTATACCGTATTTCAAAAGAATAAGGTTAAGGAAGACAAAACAGGTCAAGTTTGTCATCTGAAAATGAGACAACTGTAAATTCTCTCAAGTGGTGATGAGGAGGGACTAGGAGGTATTACTGTCCATAGCACCAGAGTGAAGCTGTAATATTCCTCCTCCAAGTGGGTCAAGACAACTGGAGCATCTGAGTTGACTCTGACAGCACCTTTTGCATGTTAACTAAGTGACCTTATTCCTGAACAAGTTAAGACTCTCCTACTATCAAATGTCACCCCCTGGCTTATATTTAGTAACAGAAAAGAAAATGTACCAGTAACTGATTCTTGAAACAACTCATGGCATAAGAAATTTTTTTTTTTTTTTTAGTATTCTGAAAAGTTTACCATATGGATGCAAGTGTTGGAGCCCACACAATACAATATTACAACAGATGTGATTATATTTTAGATAAATTTAAAAATCCCCAGTTCTCTCCTCTAATGATGACTGTCAACATGGATGCCATTAGCAGAGGATTCTTCATACCTCTGTGTTCTCTTCCCTTCAATGTGTCCTTGGGGGTGGGGTTGGGGTTAAGGTAGTGCACTCTAGTGCTCAGATGTCTTGGGGTAGAAAAGTAACCCAGCCTTGCACCTATGGATAGATATCAACGTATTCTTGCATATTTGTGGTCTAGCTGGGTAGTTTTTTTCAGTTCACACCAGAAGTTATAACCCCCGAAGGAATATGGCTTTAACTAAATTTTAAAAACTGAATTTACTCATTTGAATGAATATGACAGGGGTGAGAGGAGGTAGGAGAGGGAGAGAGAGCACACAGGGTTTGAAAGTACAACCTTAATCATATTGTAAAATATTTATTTATCAAAAACATTCTTGTTTTTGTGGAATGCTCTATAAATCTTTCAAATTTTGAATTGTTTTGGAAGTAATACTACCAACACTGTGTTGATGGCATTCGGGGTCACTGATTCAAACGTGTTCAGAAACATCCTGTATGACCACAATGAAGTTCTGATCTTTGGAGAAGCACATTTTCTAAAAAGTCCACACACAGAGGTAACATTATATAGTCTCCAAATTGTACTCAGAGGACCCCCCAGTCCTGAAAAGCCCCTCTCGGACCACCATGGTGGAGGGGGAGCGGAAGCCAACAAGGGGCTTCTCTCCACCCCTTAACTTTTCAGCCAGGGCAGCGCTGCTTTTATCAATTATGATTATCATGGTTCAGGGAATGTTTTGTTTGGAAAATGGGTTCTGCCCTAAAAACATTTTCTTGAAAACCACTCTCACGTTAAAAAAAAATTCATTTCCTTATATGTTAAGTCCAACATCAGAGTCTACATAAAAATAGATTCCAAACATATAAAAAATAGATTGCCTAATCAACATGTCTCTGTTAAAGTAGGTAAGGAAGAAGCCAAATTGGATGAACTCAAGGCTGTGACAGCTAAATTTAAAGCCAGGGTGACACATGAGCAGAATCAGCGGCCTGACAGGTTGAAACTTGCCTCACTAGGGTGGTTTTCATGGCAGTAAATCAAAACTTCTACGGAACTGACCCCAGCTGAGTTTAACAAAGAATGGAAACTCAGACCAACAACAAAGTGATATCACCCTGGCTCTTAGACTTCTAAAAACCCCACAGTCCTCAAAGGACCAGTGCTGGCACAGCCACTTTTTAGAAAAACAGCTCCGTTGCAGAGACCCCTGTGTCATTTTTTTCTTCCTTTAAAAAAGACTTCTGCTTTCCTCTACCTGTTTCAACACTCTTTTAAGCTCTTTCAAAAGTTACCACCACTCTGCATGCTTCCTTCAGATGGAGCGTGTGGATCACTTCAGGGGGGTTCCTGAGGTTTCCTCAACTTGAGACTTGTTCAGACCAGGGCACCCAGAGGGCCCAAACCATTTTCCTCATGGGCTTGTGCAGTTGGATATCTAGTACCTTTTAACTGCCTAATGAAAGTTAACTGAATGTGTAACTGAATAAAAACTCAGTTTGAGGAATACAGAAGGATGCAGAAAACTATTTTTTTTAAGTTTCAAGAAGCCCAGAAGTGTACTCTTGTTCTCTGAATTTAAAAAAAAATATATAAATTTATTTTAATTAGGTATATATGACAACAGAATGCATTTTGATTCATTGTGCACAACTGCAACACAACTTTTCATTTCTCTGATTGTACATGATGTAGCGTCACACCATATGTGCAGTCATACATGTACCTCAGGTAATGATTGATGTCCACCTCATTCCACCATCTTTCCTGTTCCCAAACCCCTTCCCCAATACTCTGGCTGAGTAAGGGACCCAATCTCTTCACCTTTCTGGGTCTTAAGACTTTTTAACATGTTAGAGCCTGTGGCTTATCAAGAAGTAAAGATAAATTAGCTCTAATTTTCCATTTTCACTTGTTTTAGCTAAAAAGCAATCATAAGGGAGGTTTCCATGTAGGTAAACTAAACAATCAAACAAACAAACCCAAAGAAACAACAAAAACTTTCAATGGATTTTCTCAGGCAACTTAAATTTCAATGCAACTCATGATCACCATCTGCTGGAAAAAGATTGAACATCTACTTCTGTTAAAAACCTCAAAGTACTAAGGTGTTTTAATCAGACATTAACAAGAAAACTGTAAATCCTAGAAAATCTAACCTACAGGTACTAAGAAATTAAGAGTAAGAATGTTAGGATTATTGAGCATTCAGCTCCAGAATTTTCTATATATCCTTCAAGTACAAACAATTTAATAATCCATTTTCAAATGTATTTTTAGTGTCACTATACATTAATTCCATATTATTAGCATGGGAGAGAAGGTAGCAGAAATAACATTTACAAATATGGTAATTAAAAAAATTCTTAAGAGTAAGGAAAGCAAAAGATAAAAATTCCATACCATTAGTAAGATATAATACATGACTTTCATTGGAGATTATGGTCATGGCCCCATATTATTTTATTTCATCATATAATACCCAAAAGACATAATCATATATAAATGTTAGAAAGTGGACAAAAAAAGAAAAAACAGCAGGTTCAATAAATAAATTGATAGCAAGCCCCTGCTGTGTGCATACCTCTAAATTTGGTGAGGAGGGCCAAGCTGGAAGATATTACATATGCTACCACGTGTCTTCTTAGAATAAAGTGCAGAAAATATTAAAATCATATATAAGGGGTAAATATCTCTAGCTATATATCTTTCTCTCTCTGCATATGATGTATGACCCATGTGACTAGATGTCTCCCTTATAAAACACACAACATATGAAGTGATCACAGTGTATGAGGAGACAGAAGAACAATACCTAGAGTTACATGTGGCAAGTGTATATAACAGAGAAACCACCTGCAGCTAGAAAACAGCCCTCCCTAGTAGTAATGGGCATGTGGGAACGGAAGTAGAAATAGTCCAGGACATCCGTGTGGTGCTCACGGCCTTATAAGACAGAAATACTGGGAAATACCTAGTTTGATAGAGAGGAAGGAGAAAAAAGTCAGCCTTTACTTACGTGGAGGTGAGATCTGATGAACTGTGGCTGACGAGCTAGTTTGCTTCCATGCTGTACAAACATGAATACGTTGAAGGAACTGAGCAACTGGGGAGTTATTTAATGGGTAGTTAAAGGTTAGAGTGGAGGCACGTGAGTGCTTCAGAGCATGAAAATGGGTAGGAGGGAGATCTGTTGCTCTTAGGAGCTGTGTAATGTTAGGATGACTTAATGTGTGCCTTGATTTCTTCATCTGTAAATAGGATAATTAACACTTCAAAGGGATTAAATAGTTAATAAACAAAAGTGCTATGAACAGCACCTGGCACAGAGTACACAAAATTATTTGCCACTGATAATTAACATCTTGATATTTCTATAGCACCAGCCATAGTGTATGGATCACTTTTAGGCTGACTGGCTTTAGTTTCTTCATCTGTAAAAGAGGGATATTTATACTTGTGATCAAAATAATAGAGGGAGAGGGGTGCATAAGTGTAGTACAACAATTGGCCAGGTATACGATCAGGATTATTCACTTAAGTATTACTAATTACTAGCTACAGATTATGTAAGCTATATCATGATTTTATATTACATATTAAATGTGCTTAGATTAATTCTAAGCACACATGTATGTGTATATAATGTGTGTGTGGGCATGCTCCATGTCCTCAGTGATGCAGAAACAATGGAAGAAGTTGTTAAGGAGATCGTCAGACCAAACTGTGATCTCAAACTGTAAGAGTGAAGGTCTATACATCGTAATGTCTAAACCTGAGACTGTTCAGTAAACTTCTCTCTCATAAATGCTATTAACGAAGGTGTATTAATGCTAGACAGCGAGAGAAAATTCAACGGTGAGTGTTGCATCAAGATGGTCTGCTTTTTATTCCATTGGTCCTAAGAGTAAAGACTGAGACTCTGTGGAAACCTGACTTTCTGGAGGACCAAAACAGCCCCCCACACACCTTTTCGATCAGCTCGTAGCTCTCCTCCAGCTTCAACAGCCTGTTCTGCACGGAGGTGGACGCCCGCTGGTAGACAGCTCTCCATTCCTCAAAGTCGCTCTCGGAAATCTCAGCCACAGCAAAACACAAAGTTCTTAACCCTGGAAGAGGCGACACACACCCAGACACACCAAAGAAGATTTTATTCTGAAGTCTGATGTTCCTGTTTTGTTTAACAAAGTCCCATTTGAAAAGACCGACTGCATTCAAATAATGTGCTAAATCCAACTCGGCTAGGACAAAACCTCAGTATAAAACATCTATCAATGTCCTCTCACTCTTAAGATTGGCACTGTGCTTCTCATTCCCAGTCCTTTTCATCCATCCTCCACACCTGGAGTGACTCTTCTAAAATCCTGATCTTACTAAGGGCTTCCTTGGTTTGAAATCTTCTGAACATTCTCCAAGATGAGAGGTAAACCCTGATGTATGGCTCTTACTTGTTTCATCAACTGCCTCAACCTCTTTCCCTGCTGCCACCTTTTCCATACCAGGGTCTCCACTCTACCCTCCCAAATACCTTGCCACTGTCAGTTTTGAATCAACTTTAAGACTCAGCTCTTGAAGCCATCGTTTTGAAACAGCCTCCTCTCACCTGGACGACACAAGCAGAAATCCCCAAATGCTCCTATGTTGTGAATAACAATATTCTACACGTTTGCTCTCATGGTCTCCTCTATCAGATTGAGGCTCCTGGACAGCAGGGACCTGGAGTTCTTCCTATCTGTAACTCCACTGTCAGATACAGTGGCTGACTCAGAATAGTGGCTTCAGATGCTTATGAGGAGGGACAGGGAAACCCCTTAAAGTCAACTGGTAGAGTGACCTTCCTCTTACTGGGCTATATGACTGTATTTATCACTGCTGTTTACCACTATAAATTTATGGCAAAAAGAATCTTTGTAAATGGAGGGTCAGTGGCAATAAGGAACAGACGTGTTCAGGGAAGGCAGTCAAACCTCATGTGTGCGCTGACCTACTCCCAGAGCTCAGCGTCTACGGCTTTCATAGCTCACTTCACCCTCAGCCAGAAGAAAGGAGAGGGACTAGAAGAAAAGAGAGGCCAGAGCACTTCTCAGCCATGTAAGGAAGCAGCTACCTAGATTCCTAAGAGAATGCCTCACTCAAGGTCATTTAACTCTTAAAACAATCAGAGCCAGACTCTAGGCTTCATCATCTTGTCAAATAAAATATGTTCAAGGCAATATGTCAGAAGCAAGAAGCAAAGAACCTGTGACATAAAATACCAGGAGGGTCTTTCAAAGAAAGGAGTAGGGTTATCTATTGCCGGATCACTGAGAGTGGAGGTTAAATCCACGGGGCCATATTAGGGCATGTTTTTCACTTTTGGAAACTTGGCTGGAAAATTTATTTGAGGGGAGCCATGGAGCAGAAGTGACATTCAGCCCAGAGCCAGAAAGAATGGAGTGAAGGTGGGGGCCGAGCCAACTCAAATATGTCTGAGAGCCAGAGCATGTGTATCATCATATCCAGAGGAGAAAGATGCCTCCAGACCCCTCAACAAGCAAAACCAAACCGAACAATACCTGTGCTGTGTGTGGTAGGTTGAACCTGCCTGGGGCCCTGTCTGAGGGTCTGAGCTCTATCATCGTGTATGCTTCTGTGTTCCTGCTTTCTGCAGAACTGGGAGGAGGTTCTTTGTGTCCTTGATTTTCAAAGTCTATTATAATTTTTTTCCTAGTGATTTTTAAATAACATTTCTATCTTTTCTCAGCCTGGATCAGGAGTGGATTTGGTCAGGGGTCAGGCTTGGTGCTCCTGGCGACTGTTCTAGCTGAAACAGGAGGGAAAACTGAGATGGGAGATTTAGATACAGCTGTGACCACGGTTGGCAAGTTCAGAGATAAGACTACAAGTTCTTGTGGTACTGACCCTAATGTTTAACAACCCTTACTCCCTTTCATCCTATCTAGATCAGCTCTCTAGACCAGGTACTGTTTTGTTTCACACATCATCATATTTCAAGGCAGAAAGACAGGGTTAAGCTTTTTTCTTTTTTATCATCGATTCTCAGGTCTAACACAGAGCTTGCCATGTGGTTGGGCCTCAAAGAAAGTCTTCAGTTCTACCTAAATTGATACTCATTTTCATAATCACATAGGCTTACTTATTTCTTCTCTCTTTTATTCAGATTAGAATATTTCAGTTCTTTGACTCATTTCTTCCCTAATGAATTTCTTGAGATATAAGGTAAAGTGTTTACACTGTAAATTATATCCATTCTGAAAAGTAAACAGATTTGTGGGTCTTACTACCTAAAATGTGGGGATAAAGCCTCTGAACATTTCAATAAATACAGTTTTAGTTTTCTAATAAAAATATTGTATGGGAACAGAATACAGTAAGATCTAAGTTCTCAATATTGATACCTTATTTTAGGAATGTTTAGGTAAAATAATACCAGTGACCTTGGTAAGCTCTCAAGAGTATATGATTTCTGTGTATTTTAATCATACTTTACTACTATTATGCTCACCTTCTGTAGCAAACTGTTCTAAATGTTTGAGGGTAATTTCTTTGTATTTTGAAGTCTCTGCAAGTCGTTCATAAATTACAGTGTCCTAGAAAACAAAGAGAAGGTATAATGTACTTAATAAAGCATTCTGAGTTTAATAAAGTTAATGGTATGACACTACTAGTTACCAAATCAGTATAAAAATAACTAATCACTTTTAGTACTTATTTTAAAACATGAAATATTTTTTCCAGATAACTCTGTTTCCCTAATGACACAAAGAAATACAGCTAGACCTCTGGATCTGCAGGTTCTGTATTCAAGGACTCAACCAATCACAGACAGACGTCATCAGGCCCTGGGTGGTTGCTTGTACAGGACAGGTATAGACTTTTTTCTTATCGTCTAAACAATATAGTATAACAACTATTTACACAGCATTTACATTGTATGAAGTGTTAACAGCAACACAGAGATAACTGAAATACCAGAGAAGATGTGTGTAGGTTACATGCATGCACTGTGTCATCTAATATAAGGGACTTGAGCAACTCTGTATTTGGGTATCTGTGGAGATCCTGGAAAAAATACCCAGTAGATACTAAGGGGAGGTTCTAGGCATACATTCTCATTTTCTTTTGGAATAAATCACTATAGTTACTCCAGTGTTTGAAATGTGAATATTAATACTTATTTACTTCCCAAATACTGCAAGATTCTCACCCAGCCCTAACGGTTCTGTAGAGCTCTGAAAAGGTGCTACAAGGAAGAATGGGACCAGAACTCAAGAAAGTCCAGGAGATGCTGGACTGAACAGAGCTAATGGGTGGCCCTGCTGCAATACTGCTCATGCCTTTAAAATCACATCAATAGACTTAAAAAATCATATGATCACCTCAATAGACGCAGAAAAGGCATTTGACAAAATACAGCACCCCTTTATGTTTAAAACATTAGAAAAACTAGGGATAACAGGAACATATCTCAACATCATAAGGCTATCTATGCTAAGCCCCAGGCCAACATCATTCTAAATGGAGAAAATTGAAGGTATTCTCTCTAAAAACTGGAACAAGACAGGGATGCCCTCTTTCACCACTTCTATTTAACATATTTCTTGAAACACTGGCCAGACCAATTAGATGAAAGAAATTAAAGGGATACACATTGGAAAAGAAGAACTCAAATTGGCACTATTTGCTGATGATATGATTCTATACCTGAAAGACCCTAAAAGTTCCACCAGAAAACTCCTAGAACAAGCAAATGAATTCAGCAAAGCAGCAGGATATAAAATCAACACCCATAAATCAAAGGTGTTTCTGTATATTAGTGACAAATCCTCAGAAAGGGAAATGAGGAAAACTACCCCATTCTCAATAGCCTAAAAAAAAACAAAAACAAAAACAAACAAACAAAAAAAAAACAACTTGGGAATCAACTTAATGAAAGAGGTGAAAGATCTATATAATGAAAATTACAGAATCCTAAAGAAAGAAATCAAAGAAGACCTTAGAAGATGGAAAGATCTACCTTGCTCTTGGATAGGCAGAATTAATATTATTAAAATGAACATACTTGCAAAAGCACCATACAGATTTAATGCAATTTCAATCAAAATTCCAACAACATTCCTCATAGAAATAGAAAAAGCAATCATGAAATTCATCTGGAAAAATAAGAGACTCAGAATAGCTACAGCAAACCTTAGCAGGAAGAGTGAAGCAGGTGAAATCGCTATACCACACCTTAAACTATACTGCAGAGCAATAGTAACAAAAACAGCATGGTTTTGGCACCAAAGTAGAATGGTGGACCAATGATACAGAACAGAGGACACAAAGACAAACCCACATAAGTACAGTTATTAGACAAAGGTGCTAAAAACATACATGAAGAAAAGATAGGCTTTTCAACAAATGGTGCTTGTAAAACTGGAAATCCATATGCAACAAAGTGAAATTAGACCCCTATCTCTCATCATACACAAAACTCAACTCAAAGTGGATCAAGGACCTAAGAACTAAACTAGATACCCTGTGTCTAATAGAAGAAAAAGTAAGCCCAAATCTCCATGATGTTGGATTAGGCCCCAACTTACTTAAGAAGACCCCTATAGTGCAAAAATTATAATCATGAATCAATAAATGAGATGGATTTAAACCAAAAAGCCTCTTCTCAGTAAAAGAAACAATCTGTGAGGTGAATAGAGAGCCTACGTCTTGGGAGAAAATCTTCCCCCCTCACACATCAGACAGAGCACTAATCTCTAGGGTATATAAAAAACTTAAAAAGTTAAACACCCAAAAAACAAAATATCCCAATCAATAAATGGGCCAAGGACTGAAGAGACACTTCTCAGAGTATATACAATCAATCAACAAATACATAAAAAAATGTTCATCATCACTAGCAATTAGAGAAATGTAAATCAAAACCACTCTAAGATTTCATCTCACTCCAGTCAGAATGCCAGCTATTATGAAGACAAAGAACAATAAGTGTTGGCGAGGATGTGGGGGAAAAGGTACACTCATACACTGCTAGTGGGACTGCAAATTGGTGCAGCCAATATGGAAAGCAGTATGGAGATTTCTTGAAAAATTGGGTATGGAACCAACATTTGACCCAGCTATCCCTCTTCTCGTTCTATACCCAAAGGACTTAAAAATAGCATACTACAGGGACACAGCCACATCAATGTTTATAGCAGCACAATTCACAATAGCTAAACTGTAGAACCAACTATATGCCCTTCAATAGATGAATGGATAAAAAAGTGTGGCATATATACACAATGAAATAAAAGAGCAATAAAAGAGAATAAAATCATGGCATTTGCAGGTAAATGGATGGAATTAGAGAAGATAATGCTAAGTGAAGTTAGCCAATCCCCCAAAACCAAATGCCAAATGTTTTCTTTGATATAAGGAGGCTGATTCATAATGGGATAAGGAGGGGAAGCATGGGAGGAATAGATGAACTGTAGATAGGGCAGAGGGGTTGGAGGGAAAGGGAGGGGGTATGGGGTAATTAACGATGGTGGAATGTGATGATCATTATTATCCAAAGTACAGGTATGAAGACACGAATTGGTGTGAATATACTATGTATACAACTGGAGATATGAAAAATTGTGCTCTGTATATGTAATAAGAATTGTAATGCATTCTGCTGTTATATATAAATAAAAAAAATCACAGGGTCTCTCAATGGCTGTATGGCACAGGTCCCAACTTATATGCTCACAGAACCTTCCAGGGGCTAGAGCCCTGTATGGGATCAGCGTTCACAGAGAATAAACTTTAAGCAACACAGGCCTACTGGATCTGCTCAAGAGGGCTGGTGGTACAGTGCAGAGAACCTTGAACAAAACAGGAACTGCCTTAAACAGCAGTTTTTAATTGTACCACTTTAAGACTCAGTTGATTTAACTTGTAAAATAAAATTACTGGATTGTTTTTAAAGTTCTTTTTAGCTTTAGCTTTATGTACCACTTACGTTTCTCTAGTTTTTGCTCATTTACAAATTGCCTATTGTTCCTTTAGTTATTATTTGGCTTTGGTTTAATGTTTTAAAAATTCTAGTGTTTAGTCTTCATGGTTTTACTAGACCAGGAAAAAATAAATCATTTACCTGCAATTACTTTCTTAGTGATATTACCCATATAGGGGTCTCTAGTCTCAGGGCTGAGATTTGGAAGCAGACTAATGGAGTATGATTTAGAACCCTTGAGAGAAATAGAACTTAGTGACCTCAGAGCAGATGGAATATTCCAAGCTCCAATTATGAACTTCTTTCCATTTTTCAGTGGTGGAATGGGAAGGGGGGCAAAGCCAAAGGAAATGATAATTTCCCCTCACAGTCCCTTCTCAAGAAGAAGGAAAAGTTTAACTTATGATCTTTATTTTTTTTCCAGAAGCTAATGAAATTTTCAATGAAATGAATATAGGTCATTTTAAAACTAAGAAAATCTTCAAAAAAATCACAATAACAAAAACAAAAGTGATAAGTAATAAGATCTGAAGGACTGATTTCTGCAGTATATCCAAACATTCTAGTGGAAGAAACTGATGCCTTGAATACGAGAAATTAAGTTTCTAATTTCCTTGTAATATTGAGAAAAGCAGAGGACAGAATTTGGCCTTCTGCATTAAATGTATCCTTGTTTTAAAATCACATGCAAAAAATATATTATTTACAGATATTTTTTCAGCCAAAGTTAACACTCCCTTATTGAGAGGGCTACATCAAGTGCTGGGCGCATTGTTAGGCGCTAAATCAGGTTCTTTATAGGCACTTAAGTGAGTACACTCCATTGGATGAGACTCAGAATCGTCTAGTCTGTGTTTATGGAAAATCCTCACTGCATGTAGTTATCTGTGCTGCCCTTAGCAAGGTAAAAGTAGAGAGTTATGGTGAGCTGAAGCTATGGGAGCGGCACAGCATAGACAAGTTATATTCACTGTGTGAAGATCCAGGGCTTTGAGAAAAGTTGAACTCATGATTAATAACTCCGCTTGGGAGAATTTTCATTCAGAAAATTGGTTTTGTTTGTCTTTTATACTGAAGTTCAAACACTGCTCTGCCTCCAAAGTGCCTTGCACATGGTAGGTGTTCAAAAATTATTTAAATGAATAAAATTTTGGATGCAATCCTCAATCATTTTGAAATGTCACTTGTGTATAACCTCACAGGATATGTATGATATTGTCACACACACACACAGAAAGACTACCAGAAAATGCAGGCATCTGCATAAGATGGCAGTGGTGGAAAACAAGTAGGTCTTAACATAATTGCTTATTTATGTGCCGCAATTAATACTGAAATTATCTAGATAATCTTACCATTATGAAAATAATTATGCAAAATGGAGTGGAGGGGCCATGGGGGAGGGGGACACTCACAGATACCTGTTCTAGGAACTATCTCCTAAAACTGAGCCAAAGAAATGGGCTGCCATGACTTTAAGACTAATTTTATTTAGCAAATGACAAGGAAACAGCTGGTCATGACTTTAAGGATAGCTTTACATAGTAACTCGTGCCGCTCCCCAATCAGAGCTTGCCAGCTTCAGCAATCCATTGCAAGTGCCAATGAAATTTCTTTCAAAATCATTTGTGTAGATTTCTCCATCTTAATAAAACCTTCACCTTTTGTTCACAGGATAGACCCAAGACCATTGTGGGCTATGTGTGTGTGTGTCTTGAATTGCAATTTAATTTTTATGTTCTCTTTCTAAATGAACATTCATTTCTTGGGAGATTTGTCTTTAATAGTTCTGTTTGATTTTGACACTGTAAGTTAAACAACTGCCACTGGGAATCTGATCTTGCAGTCAGGTTAAGTAAGGTGAGACTGCCCTGCTACATGAAGCTTGGGTCCCTTTGACCTGGAATGTTTGACAAAGATGTAAGACACACCCATATCTAAACATATACAGACACTTTTTTTGTGTGTCATTCAGAATTATCTGAAATTTGCCTGGTGTGGTAGTGAACTGCTATAAAAGCAACTAATTTCAGATGTGGTCTTTTTTATAGATGGCAAAGAACTTTATTTAAGGAACACCTAATTTGAAATTTTCAATCACTTTAAGGTCTCTACAGCATTAAGTTTATAAGTCAAGTTTATAATTTTTCCTCGGGTAACAAAATTTGGGATAGAATGCCTCTTTTCTTGAATAAATTTTTACTTGTGTAAATGTATTTTTTCTTTAGTTAATACTATACATATGTACATACATATGTAGTATATTTTATACAGTTTCTTTCTTCCATTTAAAAATTAACAAAGCAAAACATCTTTATTTGAGATGATCTAGAAGAAGTAGGGAAAATAAATTATTTGACACACCCCCACCCTATATACATACATACAGACAGCTGTTGTGTTTTTATGCATATTCAAGATGGAATTTTCAGTACTATCTTTAAATTTACTAACTCTACTTGAACTGTGTCTAACCTGACATTTACTTCATTTTTTTATTTAAAAAAATTTGTACATATTGGTTATGTATGCATGTGTGTGTGTATGTATGTATTTATATTACCCCTCTTTGTTTCTTTTTGATTCAAAAAAAAGTTAGAATTTCTTCAATATGTTGAGCTTAAAACATTCCTTGGCAGATGGGTCTATATAAATGATTCAATCTGGAGTGAATACCCAGTTTTTTATGGAACTTGTTATCTCTTTTAGCATGCAAATTCTTCACGTGTCCCTGAGTTTTGCTCTTGTTCTGTCCCTCTTTGCAGGCAGGCCAACCTGGTCATTTTATAAACCTTCTGCAGGGGTTGGCATGAGATTTCCTCTTGCTTTGGGGAAGCTCACCATTGTCCTTAACTTCAGACAGGAAGCTGTCTCTCATGTGATTTCAAATCTAGGACACTTGCCCCATGGTTTCACAGAAGTCAAACTCTAACCACTGCTTCTTGATTCTGAACCCAGAGGCTGGGACGCCCACCCCACCCAGCTCAAGTCTTCGATTCAATGAACCACTTTGATTCTATTTCTACTTTGGAGTACACAGACGTCTATTTGTGTAGTTTTAGCTTTATTTTCTCTTTATACTTATATCAACTCCATGTGTCTTCACCGTGACTTTGGCACAAAGAATGCAAATCAAAGTATGGCATGCTATGCCATCCTGACTGGAGTGCATAATGAGCTCTGTTTACCCAGGTCTTCTGCTATAGCTGAAGATTATTGACTGTTGATTATTGACTCTATCAAGGAATCCACAAGCTCCTTAGATTCTCCTCCAAATCACAATCTGCTTTCCTGGTTCTTCTACTTTTCATTTTATACTCTTGTCTCATTTCAGGTAACATTTCTTCATATAAGACTGCATCCCCTGCTTTTAGTTTCCAACTATATACATTAAGTTCTAGGTTGTATCTGTACCCTGGATTTCTTCCCCTGTGAAATTTAGATTCTATCCCCTGTGAAATCTTTGTGGCTCAAATGTAGCTGGCCAACTCTCTATCTGAGGAAGTGATATCATTCAATCCCCTTGGCAAGCCAAGCAGAAATCCCCTAAAGATCCTGGATAATCCCTTCCCTCATCACCAATCAATTATTAAGTCCTAAATCATCCTCCTCTGTCTTTTCTGCAACTGTCTTGTTATTCCATATCAACTCCTGCATGGACTGTTGTCAGTGGTCTCAACTGGTAGCCTTATATCATCCTCTGAGGTGCCATGAGAATAATCAGGAAAAAAGTACAGTTCTTAAGGATGGTAAAAGACGAAAGAAAACAAAAAAACAAAACCTAACTCACATCGACCTTTTCTACCTCAAATTCAGCTCTTCCCTGGCAACCTACCACTAGTTCCCAAGCATGCTTTCCATGTTTATGCCTTTTACCACTGAACCACATTTCATAGCCGATTTGGGAGGGAAGAAAAACAATGCAATAAACGAGTTAACATATTCAAACTCTCTCTGAGATTATTTTAAAAAAAGAGTCTCTATATTTTTACTTTTTATTCAATGTTTTAACTTCCCAAAGTTTTAGGTAGAAGAATGTTCAAAGCCACAGGAGGACGGATGTGATCTGGGTGCCTAAACCAGACATCTATCAGTTGTTTGAAGTGGGAGGTCTGCAGGCTCTCCTATTCCCTTATCACTGTGCATATTCCCACGGGGCTGTTGGAAGATCTTTACGATACCTTAGTATTGTAACCTAACCTTCTGTTTATATGTGTTTCCCTGGCTAGTCTGAAATTCCTGACACATCTTAGGTTTTTTTCCTTTGCATCTCCGAAATCCAGTTTGAAGCCTGGTGATAAGATGTTCAGAATGAATAAATGTCAGGTCTTTGAATCAGTGGGAAAATAAAACCAAAGGAATTCCAAAACGAAATTCACAAGACATTGCAAAATCATTCCACCAGGATGCTTCAAAACCAAGGCATTCAAAATTGCATTTTAATGATTTAAAACCAAGGCATCTAACATTCTCAACAGGAATTTAAATAAAAAGACTTGGGCCTCTTAAGTTTGGTTTCCAAATTTCCATGGGAAAAAGCAAGGTTGTAGAGTCTATTCAAAATTGAAAAGTTCCAAGGTGGGGAATTTACAAACTAGGTATCTAGAAAGGGCAATTCAAAAAGAAAATATTGACTGACCTTAAAAAAAAAAAAGCCCCAGTCAGTAGATTTCTCCTTTTTCCATGAGTGTAAACATATTTCAACTAGGAGAATCAGTTAGAATACACAGTATAGGGGCTGAGGTTGTGGCTCAGCGGTAGAGCGCTTGACTCAAATGTGTGAGTCACTAGGTTCAATTCTCAGCACCACATATAAATAAAAAAATAAATGTCCATCAACAACTAAAATGAATTAAATAAATTTTTTAAAAAAGAAATACACAGTATATAACCTGCCCATATGTCAATGCTAATCAATTATTAGAAATTCTGTTATAATTAAAACAATGCAAGACAGTGATCTTCACATGAAGAAATTATACCAATAACTATGATCCAAAGGACAAAGACTATTTCTATGTTCTTTGAAAAATTATATTGTTTTCCATATTTAGTTGCCTGCTAACATAGTTTATGTACTATGAAACTCAAATATTATGTAGCAAAAATTAAATTATAAAAATAACCTATGCTAAACTTTTTTAAAAGCACCCAATTTACCCAGAAGGAATTCCACATTTGACCAGAAGAGGCAGAACCCTGTTACTATAAAACACCAGCAAAAGTGGATGTCAGCAACTTCATGCTAAACATCTGCATTACATTCCCACAGCAGAATGCCTAACACGTACATTATAAACCAGCATAAATCAAAACTGTAAAAGACAAAAATAAAGACTTACAGCTCCTTTGCAGTAAAGTCGTAACTTCCCGGATGGAGTGCGAACAATCACTGACATTCTTTTTCGAGCGCTGAAAGAAAGAGGTATTTCCATAATGAGGATCTGCACATATATGTCTGTCATGCCTCACATATTTTAATACTCACAGTGAAAAAATAAATTTGATCAAATTATGAGCCTGATCCTTCCACATATATGAATTATCCCCTGATGTACAGTTGGGGACTTTTGAAAGTTACATTATGTTTTTTTGAGTCATCAGGGTACCATCTTCTGCCCTAGAGGAATACTTTACAAAATGGTTCCCTAGAAACCTGTGAGAGTTAAGACCCACCAGAGTAGAGGAGAGTCCTGGTTCAATATTTTCACATTTGAAAAAAATATTTTAAGTTAGTATCTTAAAAGAGCAACTGTGTATGGTAATTTTTGTTAAAGAATAAAAATAATCAATTTTAAGTATATAATCACACCCAACAGCAAATGCAAACACACATTCACAAGTATTGTTCCGAGATATACAAACCTATGATACAGCTTACTTTATAAATTAGGCATGATAAGAGACTGACAACCCTATTAAAATAGAATGATTATAGCAGTATACTGTAACAAAGTCATTTAATAAAACTTATGAAATGTTGACTTCTAGAATTTTGGTTCAATGGACAGTGAAACCTCAGACAAGGAGGGAATGTGAAGATGGTACTTTAGGAAGACATTTAATGGCAGCTGTGCATTCTAACTTAGCCCTTCTTGATTCATGCCTTTCTTAATTCAGTTTTGATTTAGTGGTGTCAAACGCATCAACTTCCTTGCTCTTCTCTTCTCCTGGAAAAATCCCCAAGGGTAAACGCGGACACTCTTCTATGGTATATCAGAGTAAGTAGACATTGTTGAGATTCACCCAGTGATGATGACTGGTAAATACATGATACTGGATACAATGGGATGCACTGTTCCACACATCACTGAACACCTATCTACTACATTTCTCTAGGAAGCTTGCTCTCTCACCCTCTGTAAGACCATAGTGTATTTCTTCTCCATTCTCCAAGTCTTATGTTCCCTCCTCACTCCAGACTCTTTAAATTTTGGGAATTTACTTTGAAACGTTGGACAAGAAACCCCTTTTCTTTATGTCATGAAAGCCTCCATTTCTGTATAGGTGTGCACCATCTTCTCCATTATTTCCCCAATATGATGGAGGAAATATTTCTTCTCTTATCAGAGGCCTCTTCTGTGGGTGTGTGAACCACCTTTCACCTCACTTTTGCAGGAATCTCACTCCTGTGAATCTGCCTCTTCTTCAAAGCTGCACCCTGCTGGTCAGTATTTAAACTCTACACCCCGCCCTACAGAACTCCCCCCAACCAGCACTCTTCCATTGAGTCACACGCCCTTTCAGCTCTTTCTTTACTGGTCTTCACAGGTCAACTCCTCTGAACCGTCACCACCTCTGAACCACCTCCACTGACCTCCCCTGCATTCCTGTCTTTCACTTTTTGCTTCCCTCCTCACCACACCAAGGGACAGTCACATTTGATGAACACTTTGACCTTCCCCTCATCTAAGCTTGAAGCAGTCTCTGACAGAGATGTCCACGTGAGCTTGAACTGCTCTTCTCTTGGCCTTGTGCTATTCTTCTCTTTGTCCTCCCTGACTTTAACAATTAAGCATTCTCCTTTGTTGATTACTCATGTCTCAGTCACCAGCCTTCCATTTTCTCTTGGGCTCTTATGTGGGCTCTCTAGGCGATCCCATTCATTTTCATGGCTTTAAATATCACTTCTACACCAATGACTGCCAAATGGCCTTTCAGCCACAGGCTTTCTCTCATAGGTTTTAGGCACTTACATCCAACTGCTGACCTGACACGTCCATTTGTATGTCTCACAGGCATCTAAAACCTAAACATTAAGATGTTTCATCCCAGACATCTTAAGGTCCACATCGATTCCTCTTCTGTTTCTATCATCCATGTAAACAGAACTTCCATTCACTGCTCATGCCAGAAGCCCTGACCTTTCCCTCTCTGCCTTCCATATCCGACCCATGGCAAAGTCCTACTGACCTTCCTTTAAAAGGTATATGGGTGCCATCAACTTCCCTTTAATTTCACCACCATCATCCTGGTCTACACTACCACCAGTTTTCACAAGACTAACAGCATCATATTCACTTTTTTCACTTCCGATCTTAAGTCTGCCCTCATTGTAGTATTCTCAAAGACCTGAAATCCCTAGGCTTGCTTTATGGCACCTAGCATAGTACTTTCTAAGTGTGTGTTTAAAAGACGTATCTAAGAGCCAATTAACATACTACTTATAATAGTAGGGTTAGGAAAACAGTCACTTTAACATAAAAAGAAAAAGATGAGGGATGCACTTTGGAAATACTCTAGTTAATTATCCAACTTCTTATTTATTTTCCTTCGAGCCTTTCAGAGTATATATAAGAAAACAATCTTTGATTAATATAGTGCTAATTAATACAGACCCCATTGCTTTTGTTATGAACCATGGGCATGGGATCACTACCAATTGAAATAGCAACCAAAGTTGGCACAGAAAAGGAAACATCTCTCAAAGGTAGTATATGAGCTTGTCTTATATAGGAGAAAATTCTTGAAAAAAGGTGGGCACTTATTTCCTTGAAATGACAGCTCTACTACCTCATGGGTTTGATGATTTGAAGTGTCCTGCAGGTGGCTATGCAATCTTTTTAAAGATCCTGTAGCTAAGGACTACCTGGTCCCAGGAATGTAGGGTGGTTGGGAAACTTGTACAGAGAGGCCTTACTAAAGGCCTTACTAAAACTAAAGGACTCTATGATTTGACCTTAAGAAATAAAATCAGTAGAACAATCCCTTTGCTTTTTGTTCTTTTCTAACTAGATGGTATGTGACTTACACCTCACAGAGATATACATATGGTTTTTGAAATCCCAAGGACAATTAGATATAATGAGCTCACAATTAGGATGATCGCTTCCTGACTCCAATTACTCCACAGAAATCTTGGTGACTCTTCCTATGTTTCCAGATCACTAACTGCCATAGATTGGATCTTGAAGGTCGCCCAAGGGCCCATGTGTTGGAGCCTCAGTACCCAGTGAGGTGCTGCTGGTAGGTGCTGCAGACTTCATAAGGTGAGGCTTAATGCAAGATCTTTAGCTCATTGAGGGTGTGTAATCCCGTCTCTGTCTTCACCTCCTCTTTTACACCCTGGCCATGGGGTGAGCATTTTTGGTCTACCATACCCTCCCACCATGGTGTGCTGCCTCAACATAGGCTTAAAGCAACAGTGTTGTAGAACTGCACATTGAAACCTTGAGAACTGTGAGCTGACGTAAACCTTTTCTCTTTATAAGTTGATTATCTCTGGTATTTGTTATAGGAATGAAAAACTGACTCACACACTAGCTATCAGACTCCTGGCCCTAGGTCCTAGACTGGTGATTTAGTTATATTTCAAACAATTTTTTTAATCACTACCATTGCAATATTTTGAAGAAAGCAGTTTATGATTTACCTACAGATAATTAAAAATGTACTAAAGATTTTGAGTTAATGTTTTGCCTAAACAAATTTAAATAAAAAAGCATACCTTCTAGTTATTTAAAAAGGAAGAAGTAAAAATGAATAGCAATTTATTTTATCCAGAAAAATCACAGAGGAGAAGTTTTACCTGGTGAACTCCAGCACATTGAGCAATTCATATCTTTCTTCCTGCCCCAGCTATAAAAGTAAGGGATATATGATTACACAGAGTTGGAAATATCTTAAGTTTCTTAGAAATAATCACCGGTCACAAAGTTCTGTCATAAAAATGACTACACAATTTCTTTTCCTGAAATATGAACTTATTTTCAGGTTAATGGAAGGAGTAAAAAACAGGAGAAAATCACAAGGAATTCCATGTGCCATAGAAGAAGGCCTTTGAACAACCAACCAAAATAGGAGGCAAGAGTTGCCAATAGACGGATTATCTGGTGGGATTGTATTGTAAAAGTATAGAGAACAATGAGTAGTAGAAAGAAATGAAATAATTAAGAAAAAAAGAAAATTAAGTAAATTAGTAATAGAAAGAAAATGAAGCAATTAAGAAGATTAAGAAAAAAAGAAGGTATCAGGTATTGTGGCCCACGTCTGTAATTCCAGCAACTCAAGTGGCTGAGGCAGGAGGAGAGCAAGGTTGAGGTCAGCCTCAGCAACTTAGTGAGGCCTTAAGCAACATAGGGAGACCCTATCTCAAAATAAAATGTAAAATGGGTTGGGGATGTGGCTCAATGGTAGACCACCTATGGGTTCAATCCCCACTACCCCCCAAAACAAAACAAAACAAAACAAAACAAAACAAAACAAAACAAAACAAAAGGTAGGAGATTTATCTTTAGGTAATAAAGGAAAAATTATTCTTAGGAAATAATTTTGTATAAAGAAATACAAAAGTAAAAGAAAATATTGAATACAATAATGTTCAGCTATGACTATTGGTAAAATAAGATACAATTTATATTCAATAAAATGCATATATCTTCAAAGTACAGTTAAAAAAATTACATAGTTTGACAAAGTTGTACTCTGTGTAAACACCACTGTGATCAAGACTCAAAACATTTCCACCAACCCATAAATTCCCTTGAGCCTGTTCCCAATCAATCTTCTCTCTGCCTGTAGCAACCACTGTTCCAAATTCTATCACCATTAATCACTTCTGCCTGATCTCCAGCTGCATATAAATGAAATTAAAAAGGATGCACTCCTTTGTGTCTAGATTTTCTTCTTCTTTTTTTTTTGCTCAGCATAATGTTTTTCAGATTTAGCCATGCTGTTGATGAATTGATAACATTCCTTTTTATTGTTTAGATATTACCAGTGTAGGAATATATCACAGTTGATTTATCCATTCTCCTACTGATGAGCATTAGGTTTCTTTCAGCTTTTAGTTACTATGAGTAAAACAATGAAGATTCCTTTCCAAGTCATTTTGAGGATGTCAACTTGCATTTCCCTTGGGTATCTGAGTACGTGTGCTGAGTTAGGTGCCCATTTAAAAAACTGGTCTTTTTTTTTTTTTTTTTAGGAAACTCTTAAATGGTTTTCCCAATGGATTTTATCATCCACTTGCTCTACACTGTCATTCACCCTTGGTGCTATGGATATTTTTAATTTTCACCTTCTTGGTAGGAGTGCAGGGGCCTAATACTGTAGTTTTGCATTTTCCTGATGACTAGCAGTATTTTCTCATGTGCTTACTGGCCAGATATGCATTATCTTTTGTAACATATCTGACCATTAAAAATTAGTCCTGAATATTTATTTCATCAGAAATTTAATAATTATGACAATGTTAGAAATTCAGGGAAGGATAGGCAAAAATGGAGGAAGAGAGAAATCCTCTTAACAGAAAATCAGTAGATGTGGCTAATGTTGAGAATATATACCTATTATGAAACATATTATTAATAATGCTTTTTGAAAGTACTGGATGTATAAATGCTTAAACAAATAGATGAAAGAACAGAAAATGTTTCCTTTTGGTGTGGGAAACTTCCATTTTATTATGATTTTATTATCTTATCATTGAAGCTATGCATATGCATTAGTTTGGTTAAAAAGAAACTTAAAACGTAAATAACTTACTGAATCGATAATGACCGAGTCAGGTGTTCTTCCAGTGAAAACAAAATTCAATTGCTTGGCTGCTCTGACCAGAGCCCCCTCATCTGTTTCAGAACAGGTAAAAGCAAATAAGTGATGGAAAAGTTACCCCAAACACAACAAAAAAAATTCACATAATGCAATTTTTTTTTCAGTTAAAATTCTTTTCACGTTGGTCCCTATTGCTGCAATCCATTTCTTTTTAAGTTCCATGACAATGCCAAAGGAGGAGAATGATGAAAAGTATCTGAGACATATACCCCAGCATCAGGTTTCTGAATAGTAAGTCTCATTGTTAATCCCACACATAAAAATGATAACTGTATCCCTTAGTCTAGCATACTCTCCAGAACACTATTGTCCAAATGAATGGCACAAAACTGTCTTTTAAAAATTTCATTGCTGGGTGTGGTGACGCATGCCTGTAATCCCAGCTGTAGGCTGAGACAGGAGGATCCTGAGTTCAAAGCCAGCCTCAGTAATGGCGAGGCTCAAAGAACTCAGGGAGACCCTGTCTCCAAATACGAAATAGGGCTGGGAATGTGGCTCTGTGGTCCATCATCCTTGAGTTAAACCCCAGGGCGCGCGCCCACACACACACACACACACACACACACACACACAAAATATTTAGCATTTTCCTTCTAAAGAGTTGAATGTAGAAAAACTAATACTACTAATTGAGGATTCAATTTAAATAGTGTAAAATTAATGAATGCTTTATTATATATTAACTACTTTCATCTCTGTGTTGTAAACCCCTTGCATTGCTGGGGAGGGTGTAGGATGAGAAAATATTCATCAAGGTTCTATTCTAACCATGTGAGATGTGGTATCTTCTTATCCTTTTTAGGAATCTTGTTCACTCTACACAGCATAGATGTTTATTTAGAATAAAGTTTTAAACACGAAGAGTTCTCCAAAGGGTGTTCATTTTTTTCTAAAACTTTTACAATTATCAAATTGATTAGGCACCCAATTTTAAATTGAAAGGTGGTCTAAAATTAAGCCAAAATAATATTAGTAATTGTGCTAATACATATTTTACAGGATCCTTTTACATGAATAAAAGTTTCTTCACCTAAGTAAATACAAAACAAGCCTTCTGACTATCATTTTCAAAAGAAAACAGCAACATTTGTGTTCTAAAGCCATGTACATCACTATTTTAGGCACACAGATCTTCTTTTTTTCTGACTGCCTATGTATAAAACAATCTGATTAATATTTATAAAGGGAAAATACATGTTTATAGAAAAGTACTTGTATTTACTTATTTTGTTATTCAAATTCCCATGTAATGCATGTTATACACCAACATATTACATATACAAAGATGTATGTTTCAACACACACACACACACACACACACACACACACACACAATGAAGCCTGGCAGCCAAGGTTTTTCTAATTAGTAAATGACAATTTTTATCTAAAAAGCACAATTTGGTAATCTTACTTTTTCAGACAAAATTGATTTTATTTATATAATCCCAGATTTCAGAACAATTTTCCACAGGAAAAAATATTCATGATCACTTTACTTGTACCTGGAGATGCGGCTTGATAAATGATCTTGTCACCTTCCCGCTCTGGCACCGCTGTGTGGCAGACAGCCATCATTGTAAGAAACTCACATATGATAGGGGCTGTTGGCTGCAAGAGAGAAATGCGTAATTTATTTTCACTTAAACATTTGACACTAATGACAGAAGTATTATTTAATATTAATCTATTAATAATCAGGGCTGTGGATTTATAGCCAATATCTATTATGAAGGAAACATGTTTTTAACTCAATTTATTCATTCTTGTACTTCCTCATTCACTTTCTAAACATTTATACAAGACAACTTTGTGTGGTCAAATAGAAATAATATAGTAAAAAAATTTAAAAAAGGATGAATTTGTACTAGGAGGACAGAAATTCTAATATATTCACTTACCTGGCTGTAATTCCTGATCAGTTTTAAATTTCAGGCATCTAATCCTACTTTGGGTTGGGATAATGATGATGAGGGATTTCATAAAACTTTGCCCCCTCTCCAAAAATGGTAACCTTAACCTTACTGATAGTTTACTAAGTTTTTTTTTTTTTTAAAAGCAACTCCCCAGTAGAGTGGACTTTTAATGGCTTGAGGAAGACTGAAAATGGATTATTTTCTTCAAGGAGCTGATAGTGTATAGGAGAAAACAAGACAGGATCTAAAATTAAACATCTTACTGGTTTCTAATGAAGAAAAATGTCATTCAGATCAATAAAGGAAAAACAAAGCTCTATGCCCTTGGGGAAAAAAATAAACAAAATAAAACAAAAAAAAAAGCGAAGTGATAAATGAGAACATTATTTGAAAAAACTGTTCAATCTAAAAAAGTGGATCAAGCACGCATGGACCCAGCCATGTGAAGCTTAGCCCTGTGGGGAGACAGAATGTAATACACAAGTACTATTTATTGGTAGTGTGTTAAGGATTCTGAAGAGCAAATACCATGAATGGCGACTTGGGCGAGTCAGTCATTAAGACAAGGAGATGTCTAAGCAGGTGAGGTTTCCGTCTCACCAAGAACTGAGTCAAGTGACTTCCATCAAATAGGAATGGCAGAGAACTGAAAAGTTCCTAAAGAAGGCAAGAATGAGGTGTTTCAGAAAATAAAAGAAGGCCACTATGGCCCGAGTAGAGAGGAAGGAAAAGGAGCTCAAAGGGAGGGTGGTGACTCAGGGAGGGACTAGACCATCCTGTTGGCTTGTCATGTGCAACAACAATCAGGAGTGAAAATGCAAACAAGGAGACAGGTTTGGGGGCGGTCACAGCTGTAACCCATGGAGGGGATGCTGGTGGCTGGTTGGGCGGTGAGACTGTGAGAGCACTGAAGCAGGCATCTGGGATACACGCTAGGTGTTAGTCCTGATGAGGGCTTCAGGACTCAGGAGATCTGGACGTGGACAGAGGAGGAGGTAGCAAAGGCAGAATGACAAGACAGGTGACAACTCAATTCACTGAGAACACAAGAGGGAAGAGGTGGTCTAGGTCCAGGCTTGGTGGATCCTGAGAATAATATGTCGCTGAAGGCCCACTTAAGAAAAAAATGATACAGAAATACCCCTGTGAACACACTGCTCAGGGCTCTACCCAGGGGCAGATGTGAGCCTTCCGGTGCTAGACACCCACCAGTGTTTCAACTGTCTCATGATTGAACCTGAGCCAGTGAGGACAAGTTTAAATTCCAGGAATATCTACAGGCTAATCTGGTGGAATCTGAATAAGCAGCAATAATTTTAAAAACATGTTTAAAAATTAAAAATATTATTTTATGTGGTCCTGAGGATCAAACCCAGTGCCTCACATGTGCTAGGCAAGCGCTCTACCACTGAGCCCCAGCCCGAGCCCCAGCCCCGTCAATAACTTCTTAAGCAGGATGTTCACACTGGGTCCAGGCAGGCTCTGGAGTTCCTAGTGTAGATTTGACACTAGTTTATGATATTGAGTAATTCCTCTATAGACATTTTGAAATTGTTAATATTAGTAAGTTATCCCACTCAAGGTTCCATAATTATTTAAAATTAAACACTTTCAAAAAAAAAAGAACACTGACAAATGATAATATTAAAATTAAATTTCCAATTACCGAGAATTCACATTAGCCACGTAAAAAGAATTTTGCAATATGAGATTTTTGGCAATTATTTAAAATGATTATGAAAGTTCAAAAAATATAAAGACACAAGACAGTTGAGGAACACTTATTAGTTTTCATGCATTAACGAAAAAAGATAATTGTTTCATGTTGCTTACATGATTATTTTGGAGATTTTCCAGCAAAGATGAATCATTAAATGTTTTTTCATCTCCCAACTGAGAGCTCTGCCTGAAGAGGGGGAAAAATAAAGCAAACCTGGTTGATTTCCATTAGCCCACTGATCTATTTGGACCTCATTTTTTAAGTAAACTGCTATTCCAACAAACCCTTAACTTAATTAAGTGTAATTTGGACTGAGTTTCTAAATAAGACATCACAGATTTCAGGATTATGTCATAAAACCTACACAAGCACTCTAAAATGTGACAGACATCTGTAGTGTAAGGAAAAAATAATGCTTCATAGTTCATTTTCTTGGAATCAAATTATATTGTAGTCACATGAAATTTAAAAATTAGTTTAAAAACATAAGAAAGAAAACTGCTATAATACCCAGAATTTCTTCTGTTTCCACAATATATTCCTTTCTCTAGAATCCTAATTATTAATGAAGTTGCTATAAAGATAATTATTTCATTTTATCTGTATGAGAAATCTTTATTTACAGTGACAAACACTCCAGGACTATTATGTAAAACATTAAAACATGAACAATAAACTGTTAACTGATTACATCAACATCTTTCATTAGCAAATATATGAACAAATATTTATGGGCATATCACATTTATTCCATACATATGAGGAAGTCAAATCATAAAAGTGTTTAGAATTTTTTGTGTTGTGGCTATCTTTGGATCAGCATATGTATTATGTACTTCATACCAAATAAACAGAGGCAGTGTTACCTTTCTCATGGCCACTCCATATAAGAGATTCAAATGAAAAACAAGAAACATTTAAATGGCAATGTTTAAAAAAAGAGTATAATTTGAAATGTATAGTGAAATACATACATCTGAGCTTTTGAGCACAGGAGAAAATTTCAGAAATTACTAAGAAAAAGAAATGTCTCTGGTAATAAGTAATTATAATTTAGAAAGATTTTAATAACAATTTTTATGGACTACAAAGAGTTTTATCCATGCTAGTGTGTCAAATATCATGACATTCACATTTTAAAGCCAAAAAAGGAGAAATCACTGAAAAAAAAGAATTTTAAATAGACATACACAGTATCTCCAATGAAATACATTTCTTCCAATAACCAAGGAAGTTGGAATGTTTATAAGAAGACACATCTTTATTTACATGCCTATTAAGAAAGTTCTCAAAATTACAATATCTTTGTTAACATATTAGTTTAGGATTCTCAAAATATCCCTAGGAAGCAAAATGAACAATTACAACTATTATTGTTTCTACTGCTTTAGTTTTACAGATGGAGGTGGAAGAAAAAAGCTAAGATTTTTTAAATGACTCATCAATTGGTAGACAGAAAAACTAGCATGTTTCTCCTACAAATATTATCACTTACTAAAAACAGTTTACTACTTAAGGCTTTATAAAGTTTTACCATATGTATTTGTTAATGGTTCATAGTTATATTCTCCTACTTTATTTGTCAGAGAAATTGGAAAGTCAAATAATTTTCATAGTCACATCTTACATGAGGAAATCTATTTTCCTTCCAAATAATTCCAGACTAAAAATCTTTATAAATCTGAAACTATGGCTTATTAATCTCACCAATAATTCTTTCATTTTATAAGTCCCAGTTGCCATAATTGACATGACTTTCAAATGAATTCATCACTGAGTAACTCTAGATATGCTATGGAAATATTTACTCACATTGTCTGCTCCCCAAGGAGGTCCTCCAACATGGGTGATATTAACTAAGATCTCCTCTCCCAGAAAGTGCTTCCTTCTCAAGACCCACAGACATCAGCCTCTGATCAGATAGTCTGGTTTGGAGGACTCTGGCACATACTCATCAATGTGCTCAGAAATATTACCAAATGCTCACTTTTAGTACAAAGTAAATAATAAAATTAGGAAGCTCTTTTCATTTAAAAATAAGAACTACATTAAAAGTAAAAATAACAGCCAGGTGCACAGGCACACATCTCTGATCCGAGCTATCGGGACACTGAGGCAGGATGATCTCAAGCTCAAGGTCAGCCTGGGTAACAGTCAGATCCTGTCTTAAAAAAAAAAAAAAAGCTAGGGATGTAGCTCAGTGACAGAGTAGAAAAAGGAGAACAATGAGCATGTAATCGACATGTCATCTGAAACTTTTTGCAGCCTGATTCAAAAGCTACAATATGTGGAAAATAATTATTTCCAGTTCATATAAAAATGTAGATGGCCTCACTGGTAATACTCATCTTCATATGTGACAGTGCAGACTCTGAAAATTTTAAAATTTAAAATTCATATCAACATGAAACCCAAAAGATAAAAGGAAAAATGAAGAAATAAAAGATTGGAGCTGTACTTTTCATCTTAAAATCAAAATAAACCCTGGATGGACCAATGATTTAATATAAGCACTAAAGACATGGAGGAAAAAAAACTCAGGAGTGGGAAAGGCTTAGTTTTATACATAGTTCAGAAAACAAGCGGATAAACACAACTGTTGAACAGTAAATATTTTCACAGAGCAAAAAACTAATGCAAGCAAAGTCAAAAGCCAAATAACAAACTGGGGGCAAAAAAAACCCTTTCAACTTACACAATAAGGGCAAATTTCCATGAAGTAATAACTTCTTTCATTTAAAAAAAATCAATATTGCAGTAGAACAAGGAGCAAGACAACAAACACAGCTCACAAAGCAGAAAATATAAGCAGCTATAAAGCCTCTATTCCATCTCACCTCATCATGAGAGAAGTGAAATTTAAGTTTATCAACATGGCAAAAAATAAAGTTTGACAACTGTGCTGTTGCAATTGTGAAAAAGCCGTGAAGCCTATCACTGGTAAGAATATAAATTGGTAATACAACTCAATGATACACTGTCAAATGAAAAGCTGGTACAAAACTGTGTACAATATGCTTTGCTTTTTGTAAAAGCATGAGAAAAACATTTAAAAAGTGAATAAATAATATATATTCATAGGACAGGTCTGGAGGGATATACTTGAAATTAATCATACTGCTTATCTTTAGAAGTAGAAATGGAGGACAGGAAAGGGGGGGGATTTTCCTTTTTATACCTTTTGAATTTGTAACACATTAATGTGTTATGAACTTAAAAATCAAATTAAAAGGAAAAAAAACAAGAACAAAATCCATGTAAGCCAACTGAAATACAGACGTGCCCACCACATACACTCAATGTCGATACACACCATACACAGCAATACAAGGACAGGCAGTGTGACTGTGAAGAACTGGGATTTTTGTGGTTGTCTGGATATTTCTTGGTTTTCATTAGTGCATTATAGTCATACATAATATTGGGGTTCAATCTGACATAATCACACATGCATGGAATATAAATGTTTGTTTTTCAAATGAAATTCAGCACTTGCATGTGAGCAGGGAGCAGGCATGGCAGCCCAGATATACCACGAGAATGGGTCCTGCTGGCTGAGCACGTGTTTGCACACTCCAAAAGCAAACAGTGACCAACTTCAAATTCATTCCAAATGTCCCGAGTCAAGAGAATTGCAATTAACCAGACAAAATGTACATATAGGAAACTTCTCTCTTTAGGAGGTGATGGCCATACTCCACATTGTCCAGGCAAAAATATACAACTTTCAACACAGCCTGAATACCTTCATATTTTAAAAAACTAGAATTCTCTAGCCAAGGTTTAGGCTGACAAAATGCAAGTCCTGAGTTTTCATTTGCTCCTTTAACTTGTCGTAAATGTGTTTAATTATAATATGGATAGAGAGTAAGGAGCCATTGAAGGCCATTTTCTCACTGGGTAACACTGCAAAATTTGGACATACATACAATCTAAGAGAGACAAGGATGCTAAAAATCATTTTTCTTGGTTTAATGTAATTAAGTACAGGAGTGAAGAGACAGCTGGTTGTCAGCAGCCAAGCCACATCAACAGGCGAATGTGCATCTGCTTTTACATCCAGCCACCTGCAGGACTACTGCTGAGGTGGGCCCTGCAGTGGTCAGGTGTGTGCTGGGACTGGAGTGTGCTGTGCCCCAAGCCAGCCTGGAAGGCACATTTCCAAATTCATCATGAGACCCAGAGTCAACAACTTTGTCCACGGTCCTGCTTCAGGGCCACTGATGCCAAGGTATACACCATGGGAAGGGCTGAACTATGGACAAAAGCACAAATCTACAGGATTTTAAGATAGATTTATTGAATTTCTCTTTTAGTTGCTCCACACAGAAGAAACCAATGTGCACTACTGGGCAGAGAGATTTCCAACACCAGGCAGTGAGACTATTGCAAGCCCAGGCAATTCGCTTAGGCTGAGCCACATATAAATCTCTGCATGAAGACCGCATTCATGTCATTCCACCAGGTCTGGACTGGTCACTGGTTACACTAACACGCTAACATCTAAGGTGCATGATTACCTTATGATAGTGCTCAGTGGAGCTCATTGTCATGCAGGTGGCAGTTCTCTAAGACCATGAGCATGGCGAACTATAGCTAAACTCCAGTCAGCACCCTCTAAGACCTGGGGGATGTACCCCTTTCCCTAACCTGCAGAAACCCCAACCTCCTACCCTAGCTTCTGCTGTTTGGGTCTCTATCCTTGAGAGGGTCAGCATTCCATGCTTTTCAATGTCACTACTGCTTCCAAACCAAAATTCCTGGTTGGGAGATCTAATTTTTAGCAATGAATTTGTTATTCAGAGTTGAAGTCAAGTCCAAGAATATATACAGGTGATTAAATTCAATAGTATTTTTGTTAGACATTGGTTCTGACCAAAGTAATGAGTCCCAGTTTTCGGTGTGACTCAGAGTATTTCTGAAGGCAATTACAAAAGAGGATTTCCAAAAAAGCATTCTGTGAAAGGCTGCATCACTGGAATAAATAAATTACCTGCCAAGGGGACTACTTTGAAGACTAATGCTAATTTAGATGTGTTAGATCTCATTATTATACAGTCACACCTGGCAGAATGTTTTAGTGAGTCTAGCTTTTTCAGCAGAATAAATACCACTCACTCCAAACATAATTATAGGCTAAAGTGAGAAAACAAATGAATAGAAAAATAGTACTATCTGCTGATACTGTGATAATGCTAAAAACCACAGTGAAATGATGAAGCACAGAGGTGATCATCTGGAGACTCATCCTCACCTTAAAAAAAATCACAAGAATAATGTGCAACTATATATATATTAAACAGTTAAGTAAACCAAAATAACATCTAGGATTTGCTTCAAAATAGTAGTGGGGGGGGGGGAGGGCACAGAGGGATTGAAGTTGGTCTTGGGTGCACGCCATGGGAGCAAACGATGGACATATTTTCTATCTTTGCTTATGCTTAAATTTTTCCACAATAAAAGTTATAAAAGGAGAAAAATGGTTGTGGAAATTATGTAGTTTTGGAAACTCAACATATCTTAAAGCTACACAGATGCTGCAAATAAAAGTTGTTTTTCTGTAATCTCAAAAATATTGATACTATCAATTCAGAGAACGGCAGCCTTTAAAAAATTATTCATTTATTAGTTCTAATCAGTTATACATGAGAGTAGAAAGCTCTTTGGTTCACTGTGCACAAATGAAAAAATTTTAACTTCTCTGGTTGTGCATGAAGTAGAGTCACACCATTTGTGCAATCATACAGGTACCTAGGGTAATGATGTCTGTCTCATTCCACCATCTTTCCTATTCCTTTGCCTCTTCCTCCTTCCCCTTTGCCCCATCCAAAGTTCCTCCACTTATCCCAGGTATTCTCCTCCCCCATATGGATTAGCATCCACTTATCAGATAAAACATTCAGCCACTGTTTTTTTGAGATTGGCTTATTTTGTTTAGCATAATATTTTGAATGGTAGCCTTTTAATAGAAAGGAATTAATCTGTGAGGCTGGTTACATGCTAGCTGATGGTACTTGGCAATAATAATAAAACAATATCAACTTTGGAGTATGAAGCCATTGGTTAGGATATGATTTTCTCTCTATAAACCATTTAAATTTATATGTTTAAGAGAGTAGAGTTAGTTACCATTCACTTATCTTTAATGCCAATAGAATGTGTTCAAACGTGTTAATATATTACAGGCTTGTCTTGAAACTTGACTAGATGTAAGTATGTAATCTACATATATTTAAGTACTAAGTATGTGTTTAACTGGACCTTTTTTGGGGTGAATGCTGATTCAGCAAAATAAATACAGTGCATATATTTTTTAAAAATTTGTTGTTTGTAGATATACAAGACAGTAGGGTGTATTCTGACATATTGTACATACATGGAGTGCAACCCATTCCAATTTTGATCCCATTCTTGTGGTTGTACATGATGTGGAGTTACACTGGTTGTGTATTTATTGGTGAACATAGGAAAGTTATGTATGTCTATTCATTCCATTGTCTTTCCTATTCCCATCCCCCCTCTTTTCCCTTCACTCCCCTTTGTTTAATCCAATGAACTTCTATTCTCCTCATCCCTTACTGTGTGTTATCATGCACATATCATAGAGAACATGTGGCCTTTGGTGTTTTGGGGCTGGCTTATTTCACTAAGCACAGAGCATAGGTTTTATACATGGAATTCAGTGGACTCCGTATTGGAAGGCAAAACTGTTGAACACCAGTATGGAATTCATTTTGAAGTTTTTTATTTACAGAGGAATCTATACTCTTACAGACCAGCAGCAGGAAGATGCAGTTGGATACCTGGACCACAGGATTCAGTTAGAATCAGACTTGATCTTGATTTCCTCGGCAATATGAAATGTGCAAGGTTGTGCACCCCTGTGCTAACTTTCCTCTCTTCCATTAGATTTCACCTGCTGTACTTGTTCTTGCTTAAAAACACAAGATATTTACTAAAATAAATTCCAGGTTGGAAAAACTTGAGTGAAACAGAGGGATAAAAATGACTGAAGATGCAAGGCTATCTTGTGCTCTAAAAATAGATATTCTTTAAAGTCCTCCAAAATCTACAGGCTGTAATATAACCAGAATACACTTTGTAACCAATCTAAGCCAGGCTTTAACTCTGTCTCCCAGGTTTCTGGATATATTATTGAGTGGCAAATCACTTACAAATCCTCTGCCCAAATTTTATCAACTTTAAAATAGCCACATCAAGTATGTCATGAGGATTTAACTGACAGACACCTAAGCTAACACAGTGTGGGCTTACAGCATCCAAACACCTTTCTAAGCATTTTAAAAACAGACTCATTTAATCCTTAAAACTTCCTGAGATGTCACTACTATTAGCACCATATTCTTCCAAATGAGGAAACTCATTCAAAGTTAGATAACTTGTTCAAGGGCACTAGTAGGATCAGGATCTGAACTTGGGTAGTTGGAATCCAAAGACATGGACCAGAATATGGAAACTCAAGAAATATTTGTTCCTTCATTTTTGCTGAGCTACAGGTAATTATTTTACAAATGAAGAATCCAAATATATAAAATAAAGCTTACTTTATTATAAAGGTGATAAAAGCCTTCCCTAGTGTTTATTTTTAAAATATCATTATTATCTTCAGTTTTTATGTAACATTAAAGTTGGATTATTCACAAATAGTAGTATATTTTAAAGAGCACTGAAAATTTATTGGTGTGTAGGTGTTAAATATATGACACTAGGCCATGAGCATGTGATGACTCATGAGTTGTGATGAGTCAAACAGCTGCTTCTGTCATTAACCCCAGGTAGTATGGGGTTTACTAAAATTTTAAAAATCAAATTTTCATTTTACTGAATTAAATCATAGGTTAAAAATATTAATGGTTTTGGACTTCAATGCATATTGGATATATGGTTTACTCACAAAATATAAGTACAATCTGAAAATTAAAACATAAACATCTATAAAGCCTTAATATTTTCTAAAGTCCCCAGCATTAAAGGAACCCATTTTTTTCAAATTCTACTTCCTCCCATATCATGATGAATTATATAAATAAAAAATGTATATTATCCTAGATGAAAATGTAAAGGCATGGAATTTTTAAAGTAAAATGAGCAAACAAACCCAAATTAAACCTACAGAATGCTGTCTTTAATAAGTCTAAAATTAATTATATTGCAATTCACTTTAGTCCTGGGTATCACAGTCTTCCAGTCTTTGTTCCAGACATTTCATTGAAAAATGTTCATTTTATAGCCCCTGGACATATTAAAATAATGGACAATATAAAAAAGAAAATTTCACTGCCTGGGATGTTTCAGCACTTTTTTGCAGTTCTGCAGAGGATACTTATTGCCAGAAGGGGGCAGTGTTAGGCTAAAAACCCAGGAAAGCTTTAGGAACTGTAGTTGAAATCAGGTAGTTCACAGCCCAGAGACTCGGGATTGATCATTAAAGACTTTATTATAGATAAATAACATAAACTCCAGCAAGTCTAACCATTAATCTAAATGTTTATCAAATGCTTATAAAGGTTATTCAATAGAAAATGAAGGCTATGTGATAGATTTCAAGAGATAACCTTCATAGCATTTTCACCCAACCTAGATAAGCAGTGTGGTGAAATGGGTCTAACAAAACAACAGAACGCAAACCTTTTAAAAGAGATGAATGAGACAGCAAGGTCCACACAGCTTACCATTCATCAGGAGAGCACCCATAATCCTCAGGTTCAGGGACATGGCTTCAGAAAGCAAGAGGAAGGACAGAAAAAGGAAAAATAATCACAGAACGTCTGGGAGCATAAAACCATAAAGGAAGTGCTGAAAGATGGATCTCCAAAATGTTAGGAAAATGGACTTTTAGTTGAGTCTGAAAGAATGGCAGTTAGTATAGTAAGTAGAATATGATGATTTATGGTTAGCTAAGCAGGTGTACAAAGGTATCCTGTAACTGTGTAGCCAATTTGCCTCTTCACCATGGAATTTACTGATTTTATGTAATGCATTCAGATTCAGTAAGAAATGTTTAAACTTAGCAACTTAAATGTTTGCTAAAACCACGGCAAAGTTAATCACACATAAAGCATAATCAGAAAAAAGCGTTTTAACGATACAAATGTGCTGATACCTAGGAACGAATTATCATACTGTAACTGTCCCATAAAAAAGATCTAATGGAATAATCTAGTAAGTTTAGGCAGAAGCATCCCCAACACAAAGTTGATCTTTATAAAATAATCATTACTAGCAACTGTGTACAAATCTTTTTATTTTGCTGCCTATCATGAATCCAAAAGGGCAAACTTTGGGGCAAAAATAAGCAACATGAGAAAGAATTTACTAAAATTAAATTCTAGAGCATTACTTTAAGCATTAATATTTTGACAAAATTATGATATTCTCAGAATTAGCTGAAGATTTCATATCTTATCCTTCTAGCTAATTAAATGCATGGGACTCACCTTTGACTCTATCTAGGATAAAACAACTTTATCTTCCGTAGACATGCTGAAGAAAGGATGAGCTATAAACTTGTAACTCCAAAGGCAATGGCTGGTGTTTGAAAGTTTGTATTACTATCTCCTGGGAGGATAGACAACTTGCTTTCTTCTGCTGTGGCTACAAGTGCATGTGTCTAATAGTTTCCCATATTAAATACTATTATGGGGCAAATGGGAACCTGTGTAGGTACCTATGACCTAAGAGAGCTTAGAGAAAATCCCACAGTAACATGATTGACAGTAATTACTCTCCCTACCCTTCAACAATAGAGATTGGCTAGAATTAGATAACAGAGTTGTGTGACCCTGATGTGTATACACATGCTTGTCAGAAGTCATGGTTTCCCCAAAGCCTTCAGATAGCCACAGCTCTCTATAATGCTGACAATCCAATTGTCCACCAGGATGTGTGGGCAGGGATCTTAATTAGAAACTCAGTCAGGGTTAAGTGTGCCTAAAGCAAATGCACAGATAATACATTAATCTTGCAAAGGAGTTTAACAACCAGTTTTAATCACCATGGCTTTTGGTATTCTTGAAAATATTCTACAACATTCAAAGAGCACATTGCTCTTTACAAAATAATCACTGCTAGCAATCATGTACACATTTTTTATACAGTTAAACTTTGCAAACAAAAGAAGTGCTGTGTTTTTATTTCTAAACTCTATATCTGGAGAAGGATGTTAGAGACGGTGTGATTTCCTGCCTCATTACATTTTAAGCAACAGGATTACCTGAAGAGGAATTTTCTAGGGTCACAGGATGAACTAGAGATAATGCTAGAACCCATGCCCATGTCTGCACCTCACCATTAAGAAATGTTACTTTCCCAAGAGGTACTTTGTTTCACTGGCAACTTAAACTACATGTGACAACACTTTGATCAAACCCATCCTTGTTCTCTTAGTTGTTAACAATGATACCAACTAACACAAGAAGAGCACTGCTCTTGAGAACTACCACCTGCAGGTAATTTAAGACCTGTTCCAAGAATGAGAAAAACCTGTACAAAATGCAGCAGAAAGACTAGATCTCATTTTAACTTTCTGCTCTGATAATTTCACAATCGATAATTATGAAGTTCTAAGTTCTAAGAACCCGCTTATTCAACTGGAAACTGGGTAAAGTCCAAGGAACAGGTGCATTGTAGAAATAATATCTATGAATGAATATAGAATCTGTGTAAAAACAGTCAGCACCATAAATCTGACAGCAAATGTATAATATGACAAGCTCAAGAGTCACATTAGGCCTTTGCTTCTATTCTTGGGGATTACTGTGGGTAGAATGTGTAAGTACAAGATGCCAAAGAGTGTGGCTGAAACTCTCCTGTTCCAGGAGCAACTGGAGGAAAGCAGTGAGGTGAGCTTCTTAGATCTAAGGGGACGAGGAAATCTTCAGATAAAAAGGAAAAATGCAAAGACAGCATCCAGTCCTGGAAACAGCAAGCATGTCTCTCAGACCACCAGCCTGTCTTCAAAGTGTGAAGAAGCCCTTCAGTCAACTCCTTTTAACTTCATTTATACGCAAAGATTTAAGTCCTTTTTACTCTTTCTGGTTCCAAAGAACAAGCATCTCTGCCTCCATCTATTTCTCTTTGTAGACCCTGAATCCAGGAATAACCATGTATCTTTAGGATGTTTCATGAAATATTTGTAATTTTAAGCCAAACTTTAACTCAAAATTTAGCTCAAAATTTTTTTTAAAAATTCAACTCTTTTTATATTGGCTTACTGCTCAGAGAAAAAGTGTGAATAAGAGTGGGTATGAACCAGAAAACCCAAAAGCAAGCACCCATTTGTATGATTAAGAGATCATTATTTACCAGCCTCACTGTAGATAAGAATAGTTGTAAAATTTGATGACAGACCAATGTCAACCAACCAGAAGAGTGTTTCAATTTTTGATCATGTCTTTTTTAGTAATGTAGAATTTAATCTTCTCATATTGTTCTACAAGTATTTCTAAGAGAAGAGTCTGAACAGTTTAGGCAAGCATACCTAAAAATAAAATATAAATTAAATGGGTGCCCAACCAGCATGTTCTAAACAACATTATCTGGATGATAAGAAACTTTCATTAATATTAATTATCTTCTAGATTAAAACGAATTTCACATCCAGTGACTCAGAGGCTGAGGCAGGAGGATTACAAGTTTCAGGCAAGCCTTGCAATCTAGAGAGACCCTGTTTTAAAATAAAAAGGGTTGGGGATGTAGCTCAGAGGTAGAGCACCACTGGGTACAATCCCCAGTATCACAAAAAAGATTTAAAAAAAAAAAAACAAAAAAGGTTCATATCCCTACCTCCTTCGCATCATCAGAATTCTAGATTGCTCTACAAGTGCTAAGAGGTGAGATGATATAAGAAAAACCAGTCATAACTGAAAGAGAAACGACAATGTTTTAACTTGAAAACTGACCAAGGCCTGACTGTATTGTCTCACCACATCCAAGCTGCACTCTTACTGCACCATTGCAAATGGAAACATATTTACTCCTTATTACCAAGGCCAAATGGAGACCCTTTTACAAACCTAAACACTGAAAAACCTACTGAGCAAAGACCCACCTCATTTCATCCTCAGTGAAAATAATACCAAACCTTATGTGTGTCCTGAAATTAAAACAGCTGCTTTCTAGATTAAAGAAAAAAAAAAAAAAAACAAGAACGAAACCCTCCTCTAATAAGAATTCCCAAGAGTACCAAACTGTTAGTATTAATTAAATGTGTATATCACATTCTCATTAAAGGGGGGAAAAAAACTCACCCATAAGCAACTCCTGCTATAGTGCACTTCTTAAACTGCATTACATTGCATGTCAGAGTCCCAGTTTTGTCAGAAAATATGTATTTAACCTAAAAAAAAGTTAAAATTTCTCATTAATGTTACAAATTTTTTAGAGGGGAAAAAAATCCCTTTATATTTTTAAATTAACTTTGTTACATTGTAGGGGTACAATGAACATTATTAACTGACTAGTTCTTGCACACACATCAGAGAGGACATTCAACTTTTTAAAAATATTTTAGCAATAAATTATTTCACATGTTGGTATTAAAAACTATCTAAATATTCAAAATACTATGGGCAGAGAGAAATATGCCTGAGTATGGTCTGATTTTTCATTAGAGAGTATCACTACTGTACTGGGATGTCTGTCAACATTTCTCAAAATAACAACCAACTGTAGAATTCATGATAGCTTGTGCAATTAATTCCATACAACATCTGAACTGGTAACAAAAAGAAAAATTCTGTCCTGCATACTATTTAAATACTAAGATTTTGGAAGTGGTGATGATATAAGAAAACAAAATCTCAGGCAGCTAGCTTACATGAGTGGATTAACAGATACACACATGCAGTTGTATGCCATAAGGTCTTTTAGTCACCAAGGGACCACAAATATGATGGTGATACCACCAGATTATATTGCCTAGTGAGACACAGACATCAGTATGTGTAAGTACATTCTATGTTGTTTGCACAATGACAAAAATCAGCTAACAATGCATTTTTCAGAATGCATCTCTATTAAGCCATGTATTGTATGACTTATGAAATGTAAACGTAAAATTCCTATTTGACTAAACTCACACAACTTGAGTTTTCCCTTCCTTTCTAGTTGAAAGTTATGAACAATTTTGCAATTCTAACATTTTCTGTACTCATCAGGCTACAAGTTGAGGACATGCCTAGGTTTGTGCAGTACTTTATCTTGAACACAGAATCCGCTTTAAATAGTGTTGAAAACTTCACTTACTGAAAATGAAGATGGTTAGACGTGTACTAAAAATGTCCCTATGTGGATTATTCAAATATTGGAAAATTAGGAGTTGTTACCTCATCTGAAGTTGTCCCATACGACAGGAATTATACCAAATCTGACTTCTGATTCAACACTTACTTGGCCAAGTTCCTCATTCAGATTAGATGTTCGAGCCATAGCAGCAGTATCTGTGGGTTCATAGTGCATGTCAAGATCCTTAAAAAATAAACAGAAATGAATACAACTAGTTATAAGGCATTGGGTTGACATTTAAAAGAAAGCAGTGTTGTGACGGTGACAGCTCCTTTAGGAGTTGTCCTTTGTAGAGTTGCTTCGTCTCCCTTTGCATTCTAAATTCTACAAGAACGCCAGGCCTACGTGATGTAGATGTTAACTGCTAAATAATCTTTCTTCCGATTTACAAAACCCAGAACATCTCCAGACTTTTGGATAACATCAGAATGTGTTAGGCCCCTCCTTATTCTTTAGTCCTTGAGCACAGACTAACACAAACACTGCCTATATGACCTCCTTGAATTTCTTCCCTAATCTTGCTTATCTTTGAAGACAGAAGACCTTGTAGGCCAGAAGTCCATCTTCAGGTGGGCTAAGGAAAACCAGTTGGATCTAATAAGGTGGCTACCAGAGTGACCAACCAACAACCTCTAACTTCACTATAATCCTATCTGCATGCTAAATGATACACCCCCAGTGCCATGACAGTTGACAGTTGCCACGGTAGTCTCCAGAAAGAAACATAAAAGGAGTGAAAAATGGTGTCACTCGAATTTCCAGAAAATCTCTAGTTGTTCCCAGAAAAAAATATAAAATAACCATGAATATTCATACCCATTATTAGCATATCCCTGATTTCTTTTACCCTTAATTTCTCTTACCCCATATCTATCACCTCCAGCCCCAAACAGATCTATAAACGGATCTGTGAGCATTTTTCTCTGCATCCCCATTCTTTGCCAAAGAAAACCCTTCCTTCATTGCTCAACTGGAGCTTGGTCCATTTATTGATTCTGTGATTCTGAGAAGGAAAAAGGACACCATTTGGGATCAAAAACTAATGACATTAGGGCAGACAGAGATACACGGTAGTTAAGAGTATGTCTCTGGAATCAGGCAATCTAGGTTGGCTGTCATTTGGTTGGTTTCAGTAAAGGTGACCTATTGTAAAGACTAAATAAGATAACAAATGAAATGTGTTCCCTGGAGTGTCTGACACTAGGTAGGTGCTTAATGACATGAGAAAGAAAAGGGCAACTAAAGGTTGCTCAAATAATTAGGTCGTCAACCCCCTGGGAAAATTGTCCAAGAGATTCTACCTGGTTGTACCTTTTGGGCTGTTTTGTATTCAGCATACTTGAAAGCCAAGCAAATGTACCTCTCAAAAGCCAAAAGAACTTATCTGTTCTTGCCTTGTGCCTAGAAGTCATGAGGTTTGACTCTAATAGCCAACAAAATTAATATTTTCTAGAGTGGAAAAGTTTGTCAATAAGTCAGAGTTGTGGTTTAATGATTTTACACATCAAATGAAAAGGCCAGACTCTAAATCAAAACAGATCTCTCTCAGATCTGTGTTCTGAACTGATCAGCATCACTTCTGGAAGAGGCTATTGAGTTTTATGTGCCATATTTTAAGAGAGACATGAGCCAACCAGGCTATATTTAGAGAAGAGGGAAGAGTGGTCAGAATGGAGAGTAATCTGGAAACTTCATGAAACAAAGAGCAATCAAAGGAGGTGGGGATGTTTATTTAGGGAGAAAACGATATGGCAGAAGAGCAAGAATGGAAGCTGAGTTCAAATATCTTAGAAGGCTATCATTCAGAAATAAAATAAAATGTTTTCACACAGATTCACTGGGCAGAAGCAGAATCAAAGGAAGATGATTACAAATCTCATTTCTATACAAGGAAAAAGCTGCCTTGTAAGGGAAGAGTGGAAAACAAGTCTTCCATCTCCAGTATTCCATCCATCAGGGATGTTACAAAATATCTGTATATAAGAAATGTGGTTTAAAAGCCTAAGCCTGTTGTGTTCCTCCAACACTAAGCTTATATAATTATTTGAAGTCAATATTATTTTTGAAAGTCCAAATAAAAAATAACAAATTGATTGACTAGTCATTTGACCTTCATAGTGAATTACCTTATAATATCTGAATGAGAACCCTTCAGTAAGTTTCAATTATATTTGGACACATTACAAAATTCTTCAGCAATGTAATCCTTGTATGAGGACAGCTATGTCAGCAGCTCATTTCAGATGTCTATGTGACACTGATCTCCAACCAAGGAATTAAGAGACTGACACTTACCACAAGAAGACAGTGAGCAGTTGCAATAGTATCATAGGCTGAATTTTAAAAAATCCCAATATTGTCAATATAGAAAGGCTTTAAATGATTTAAGAAACAAAAATAACAACACAAATTCTCAAAATAAAGAAAATCAAACTTTCTGATGGATTTAATATAGATCAATTAATTTAAACTTTGATAATCTAAACCTGAAAGTATGATAATGTTTATTAATTTTTTTAGAAAACATATATCTAATACATTTTACCAATAATTATAAAAATTTAAGAAAGTAATTAAGAAGAAAAGTTCATGCTGAGATTGTTAACAGTGTGGAAAAATAAACTGTAAATGTGAATAAACATGAGACATGATCTGGTTGTTACCAATAGCAAACTCAACATCATTTGTAGAGTACTTGATTGTTTATGAAGTTCTTTGCTATGTCAAGAGACTCCTTGATATATATAGCCACAGGGAGATGTAGGTAAAGCATGTTTTATCATCCCTATGTGAGTGGCCAAGAAAATAAACTTGAAAGAAGTCAAGGGACTAGGCAAAGTTTGCATATGTAGCAAATTATAATACTAGAACTATAATCCAGATATTTATTAATTCCAATCTCATGGTCTCCTTCCTTTTCAACCACTAAATAGGTTTCCTGAATTAGAGAACCATTTTTTTTTCTCAAGATACCTAGTTTATAAACATGCATACTTTTGAGAAGAGGGGATTTTGTTAAAATTACATCAGGCTCAAAAATATTATCTTGTAGTCAATAAAAGGTAGGTGTAATTAAGATTTTCTTTCTCCTGGGGAGATGAAAAAATCTTATCATAAGAAAACAAAATGTATTGTTATTGTACAATAATAACTCATATTTACCCAGTTTATGAAGTATGCCTGGGTGAATTTCACCACCTCTAATGTAACCAACAAGCTGATTGGAATGAGATTGTTGAAAAGGATGATGAAGGTCAAGAAATTCAGTCCAAAATTATTAGCACCACCATCTGTTGGGAGAGATGAGAAGAATAATTTACAGATTTATTTTATTTACACTGATAAAAATTTAGCATAGTAAGAATGTTCCATATTATACAAGCCTATGTGGATAATTTGGGAGGAACATTTTGCTGACAACATGTCCTGATTCTCAAATACATCCTTCAAGATGGAATTACACTACAGTTGGTCCTCCATATCTGAAGGCTCTGAGGGAATGAAAGAACACAAACTGTCTATATATGTGCATACTGCTTTCATTGTCATTATTCCCTAAACAATATAGTATAACACTTATTTGCATAGCATATACATTGTATTATGTATTATAAGTAATGCAGAGATTTAAGTATATGGGAGAATGTGCATAGGTTACATGCCAAGTCTATGCCATTCTATATAGAAGAGACTTGAGCATCTGTGGATTTTGGCATCCTTGCTCTGTCCTGGAACTAATCACTCATGGAAACTGAGGGATAACTGTACTTCTATTTGATATGCTGTTAATTCTATTAAGAGCTGCATAGTGGTACTAAAGTGTGAAAGAACTACTAAGTACTGCAAATCATGTTTTACAAGTCCAGAGAAGACAGAGGTTTGTAAAATTTCAATTGCATAGAATGACTTCATATGAATTCAAAAAGCATTTTCAATTTAAAGCACACTTTTAAAAAGCAAGCAAGTAAACAAAATAGTGGCAGCAAAACCAATTCCAACTGTAGGAGTATTATTCATTCATAGGTAAATTATACTCTTTCTTCTATCCTCCTATCTTCTCTCTCTCTCTCTCTCTCTCTCTCTCTCTCTCTCTCTCTCTCTCTTACTAAGGATTGAAGTCAGAGGTACTTCACCACACATTCCAAGCTTTTTTAATTTAATTTTATTTTTTGAGACAGAGCCTTGTTGAGTTGATTGGGGCCTTACTAAGTTGCAAGCTTGCTTTGAACTTGGGATCCTCCTGTCTCAGCTTCCTGAGCCACTGGGAGAATAGACATGTACCTGACCTCTTCCTTCTCAATAAGGAAAGTGAAACAGGTATCCCAGACAAATTGCAAAGAATATGAAAAAAAACAAACTGATGATAATAGTAACACTTTTCATGTTAAAATAATAAACCAGGGAGTATAAAAATGACTTGGAAGAGCTGCAAAGTTAAATAAATGTAATAAAAAGCAGATTTTTAAAAATCAGTTTTTGCAATAAGACTTTACTAGAATTAGTTTTCACACTTGGAAATTAAGTATTTACCAAATGGAAATGCAAACCCACTTCCTAGAAATACCCAGGGGTGGCACATTAATACCACAACCACACAAGGATGTATGCTCCACAGAGAATCTAACAGCACTTTCCCCTGGTCAAGGTGAGCATTAACATAGGACTCTCTGTATTACTGAGATCAAATGCAAGTGCATTCAATTAAAACATTTTTTAAGGTATGTAAACTACTTTATAATAAAACATGCATGCATGTGAGAACACACACACACACAACCTTCTTTCTGTATCAGATAGTTAACTATTTTTAAAAAATAGCTTTTATTTATGAATATCATGTTAAGGGCTATATTTACTGAACGTTTTCTACTACTAAGGATTGTTTATTGTGTTTTCAAGGATTTTGAAATTTAGAGATCCTAAAATTTTGTGTACTTTTATTGGATACCACATTGAAAGATAAACATTAAATGTCAAATTATCTTGACAACAAGGTCTTCTTTTTAGAAACAGGAAATTCCATAAAATCCAGATCAACTGTGAAACAATCACATGTTAATAAAAGTAAAAAAGTGCAGTCACAACATCATTGCTTACAGTTTAGATTGAGATACCAGTCTCTTCCAGAGTGCCTTCGATTCCAAATGGCTGAGCCCACGGAACAGATAAGAGACATGGCAATTAAGATACAAAACAAAATCAATATTTGTACATTTGTAATCCGTTCCACATTGGAGAGCTTAAGTGGCGGACTCGTTGAATTCTGTAAAAAAAACCAAGATGAATAGTTAAAAAAAATGTACACAGTTTTAGTGACATGTACTTGACATGTGATGAGGATGACAACATGAGTCACAAGTCAGTATCAAGAGGTATGTGTATATATAAATTATGCAAAACCCATGCCAGGTAGGACAGGTGTCAATGGTTAGGTACCTCTTTTTCCCAAGGCTACTATACTTTCCAAACCTGTTTTCTATGAAATAATATTTCTTTAACAGACATTGTGGCAGGTGAGATGCACTTGGCTATAAGGTACTGCAGAAACATCTAGTTAGAGTGTCTGCTCAAGAAAGGAGAAGACAAGACCTATGCACCTACATCCAGACACCTGGAAACTCTTAACTATGAAGGCGACATTTGAAGAATCTCTCATCTTCAAATTTCTGGTGGCATTTGTAATTGTTTTCCTGAGCATAGCAGCAATGCAGGTAGCCCTGATTATAAAAGATAACAAAGGAGAGTTTCCTTTCAAATTATTTATGCTAGATCTGTACTAACTAAGGAATCCGTAGGACAGTATAAAACAAGTATAAAGCAGAATAGCTAAGGATGAAAGAATTAAGAACAGTTCCACTTGCCTGTTAATAACATCTTTGTGCCTGTACAATGTACAAAGATATTAGCCTTTAAGGGTAGATTTTCACTTGGTATTTAAAAGTGAGTTTCCCATACCCATGGAACCACTGAACACAGATGGTATCATGATGCAGAGAAGGAGCACTCGCAGGCAAGTGTAAACATTGGTGCTAGGATGAAAGCTGATGGCAAAAATAGCCTTACATAAAAATGCTATAAAAATGGCAATTCGATTCACACTTTTCTTTAAATTACATGAAAAATTAAAATTTAAAGTATAATGATTGCATTAAAATAAAATTAGAAGACACATACTTTAATGCAGAGCACTCACTGTTACTGACAACGTAAATGATCACCAATGATCAGAAAATGCTGCCAGCAGATCACACATCTAACCATTCATGCACCAGGTGATCTCTGGTGAAATTTCCAGTGTTCCTGTGTACAGAGTCCTTCTCACAGGGAGGGGATTTAAAGGCCCCACACATCCTGGAGGGCCAGACTCTGGATATGTGGGGTGGGGCTCAGAAATCTGGGACAGATGGTCTGCTCTGTTTGGAGTACTGCACTGAGAGCTACAAGTGATGTATTTCCAAAAGACTGAGGCTCCAGATATTTCATAGATAAAAATCTCACCTGCATCAGCTTGGTGTCATGTCCAGTGTAGACAACTATTCCATGAACCCACTGAGTATTTCTCAACTGAGCACCTCGAAGAAGAATCTGATCTGCTCCCAGAGGAACAGTGCTAGGACAGAGTATACTGACATTAGAAATGACATTTTCTAAAATGCTTAAGAACTGCACAGTCACAGTTCACCATATAGTCACTATATGTTATTTTAATAATATATTTTAATAACTCTTCTCACATTTGCTTTATTTCTAGAAAGCAAGTAATTTTCCCACCAAAGAGAATTATTGTTTTAGACATGAATAGTGGCTGGGAAAGTAACTATTGACTGTTGGGAAATAGCTGTTACTCCTCCTTAATATCCTACTAGCCAAGTCCTATAATATTTTTATCTCCTATGGACTGAATTGTGCACCCCCCCCCCGATTCTGGCTTCATATTCCTATGCTGAAGTTCTAACCCCCTAATATGATGTTTTTTGGGAGTTGGCAACTTCAGGAGTTAATTAGATTTTTTAAAATGTACAAGGGTGGGATCTTCATGTTGAGATCACTGCCGTTTTAAGAAGAGATACCAGACAGCTTTCTGTCTTTCTACCAAGTGAAGACACAGTGAGAAGACATCTTTTACTGACAAAAAGAAAACCCTCATCAGAATCAAACCACACTACTATCCTGATCTCAGATTTCCAACACTCAGAATGGTGAGAAAAAAACTTCTCCTGGGAAAGCTACCTAGTCTGTGTATACTGTTATAGCAGCCTGAGCAAACTAATATGCTATCCCAAAGAGAAGACAGTGTTTTGGAATTCAGAGGCTAATTCTTAAGTCTATTTATGACTTTTCCTAAATTAATACGTTGATTTAGTTTCCTGAAATGTTTGGAAATGGTGGACTAAGAGAACTGCAGCAGACCACCCAACATACACCCACACATCAAATTAAAAATAGCTTTACGTATAATAGAGGTTCAAATTCTGTCTCTCTTGTCTGTCTGTCTGTCTGTCTGTCTCTCTCTCTCTCTCTCTCTCTCTCTGACACACACACACAATAAAATGAATACACAGATCTCACTGTATGTAGCACTGCCATATCTCCCCCACAGAGACAGATCCCTGTACTTAAACTTCCAGGTTATTTATTTTATAGTACCTGAAGATCAATTCTCTAAGAACTGCAAATACATTTTCAAGAAATGATAAGCATTTTTTTTTGTATTTTATTTAAAGACGGGGTCTCACTAAGTTGCTTAGCACCTTGATTTTGCTGAGGCTGACTTTGAACTTGTGATCCTCCTGTCTCAGCCTCCAGAGCCGCTGGGATTTATGGGCATGTGCCCAGCAAATGGTAAGCATTTTGAAGTTATTCATCTCCTGTAATTTAAGCCACATTTTCATGAATAAAACTCAAGTTGGGTCACTTGTGGGTTTTCTGTAAGGCCACTCTCTAAGGAAAGTTATTAAGTGATACAAACTTATATACAAGGATACAGCACTATCACAGATATGTTGGGCTACTTGATGGAAATTTAATATACAAAGTTAATGGCTCAAGGGTTTCTATGATCTAGTTTTCATTTTAATAAGGAAAAAAAAAGCAAAAACAAATGTTATGGTTTGGATATGAGATGTCCCCCAAAGCTCATGTGTGGGACAATGCAGGAGGGTTCAGAGGAGAAATGACTGGGTTATGACAGCTGTAACCCAATCAGCGAATTAATCCCCTGATGGGACTAGTTGAGTTGTAATGAAGTTGGGTATGGTGTGGCTGGAGCATTGGGGGTGTGAGCATCATGTGAGCTGCTTCCCTCCACCACTCTCTTCCTCCATGATGTTCAGTCTCATCTTGAGCCCCAAGTACTGAAGCCAGCTGCCTATAGACTGAGACCTCTGAAATTGTGAGCCCCCAAATAAACTTTTCCTCCTCTTTAAAATTGTTCTTATGGGGTATTTTAGTCACAGCAGTGAAAAAGCTGAATAAAACAGCAAAAAAACTCAAACATAAAAATATAAAAAAATTTTAAAAAGAAAGAAGGAAACAATCTCCCCCCTCCCCCCCCAAAATCTACAGAGAACACAGAATGTTTGTTAACGAAAGCTTCATGTGACTAAGGCCTTCATGCTCTATCTAGTAAGCTCAGAGGCCAGCAGCGGCTTGGGTCTTAGATATTTTTTCAGGACCGCTACAAATTCTCTGGCTTAGGTGAAATCAATCGAGATGAGTGGGTGAGAACAACAATCAGGTGAATCCTTATTAATACAGAGTGCATTTTAATTTAAAGAAAGGAAAACCAACCATAACTTTCATTCTCTAGGTACAAAGGCGTGCCTTTTGGACCCAACTGTATGGGTCCAGAACTCAAGATCCTCCTGTCTCAGTCTCCCGAGTTGCTGGGATTACAGGCACGCACCACCATGCCCCCAACTGTATGGGTCCGGAAGGAATGCTACTTTAGTCCATTTTGTGTGACTAGTTAAAAAAAAAATACTCAAGACTGGGTATAAGAAAATATTTTTATTTTAACCTACGGTTTTGAAGGTTGAAAAATCCAAGATTAGGTGACCACATCTGGCAAGAGCTTCATGCTGTGTCAAAACATGGCAGATAGCATCACATGGGGGGAGTACCAGTGACACAGAGCTGTGTGAAAGGAGCCAAACACATGGGATGGCCTCACTGTATAACAACTTGTCCTTGCCATGACTAACCCTGTGATATGGGCATTAATCCTTCTGAGGGTGGAGCCCCCAGGACCTAGTTACCTCCCCCTTGGTCCCATCACCTCTCAATACCATTACATTGGGGTATTATGACACATAAACTTTTGGGAGATAAATCATATTGAAACCACAGCAGAAGAGCCCTTCTTGGATATGTCTCAAAATTTGGGGTACACTTGAGAGTTGGGAGGGACCTTGGGCTTATAGCAGGTTTCCATGAAGTTCTGGAGAAGCTGCTGGACTATTCTCTAGGTAACACAGGTACCCACTATTCCTCACTTATTCCAACAGGGCATAATGTAGGAACTGTCACTCAGAATTTGTGGTCTGGATTGACTGGAAATAGGTACAAACTGTTAAAAAAGCAAAATGTACTACTTTTTAATTACAAGGAGTTAAGAATAATTTGTTTTCATCACAGCTGAAATTCAAAGCTTCTGGCATTAGACCATGACCCTCATCCTTAAAGGAATCAAAGTATACTCATTCATTCCAAAGGGTCTCCAGATCTCTGGGTAATCACAGTCAAAATCAAATGTGCTAAAGGTCTTTAAGATCTACTTCTACATATCATATAAAACAAAACATGCTATTATATAAATTCTATCTGTATCCTAAATCTTGGCACCATCACACAAAATTTCTCCTTGACAGCATGAATTTGCTTGGCATCAATTTGAAGGGGAACTGATAAGAAATGGAAGCTGGCCAGTTAGGAATGTCACACTAAAGAAACATTACTTGTATAAACGGCAAAAGCTATCATTAGTATATAACCATATGTTCAGGGAAAGATAACTTGGGTTAAAAATTTTAAACAACAATTACTCTGATGGTTGCAGACAAGCTCTTGGTAGATCTGAATACTTCAAATGTCTTTTAAGGTTCCAATCTCTATATATTGCAATCACAAGATGATGAAAGCACCAATAACATTTTCCCAGGTTGGTGGATTGAATCAGTGCATCTAGTTTACATTTAGTTGGCCTCGACAAATGCCTGGTAGATAAGGTATACTGTGGAGTTCTACCCCATTCTTTATTCCCCTTTAAAAAAAAAAAAAAAAAAAAAAAAAAAAAAAAAAAAAAAAAAACCCTTGAAAAAGAAGTGCATTTGTGATTCTCAACTCCTTCTATGATCTCAAACACAAGCTCATAGGTTCCACCTGTTCCAGTCAAGTTCAATAATGTCCACTAGCTAAACCCAACTGATTATATATATTCAGCTTCCCTCAACCTGACCATCAGTAACATCTGACTTGATTTTGTGCTTTGCTCTCTACCTTGGTACAGTTTCCTCTTGCTCTGTCTTTTCACCCTATAAGTGGTCTCAGTCTCTTTCACTAGTCCTTCCTTTTTTTTTTTTAATCAACCTCACCCCTACCCTACTCCCATTCTGGGGGTTGATCCCAGGGCCTCATGCATAGTAGGAAAGTACTCTACTACTGAGTCATATCCCAGCTTTGCAACCTCTTGATATTAGACAGTCCTAGGAGAGTCCTTGGATCTTTCAATTTTTCTGCTTAGACCCTTTCACTCTCAATGGTTTTTCCCAGTCACATGGCTTTATGTATCTCTGCCAACTTCTCCCAATTTATTTCATTCAAGACATCTATCCCAAACTTTATATATATATATATATATATTTTTTTTCAATTGTCTCTTGGACATCTCTGTTTGGACGTCACAAACAGTCCAAAACCAAACTGCTGATCTTCCTCCCTCAAAACCTTTCAGTGGATTCCCATTTCATTCTGAATTCACCCCCACAATGACCTACAAAGCCTCCTATAATATGGCCCACTATTTGCTATTGGATTTTCTTCTATTACTGTCTTCCTTGATCACACCATTCCAACCACAATGGCCTAACATTCCCAAATTTCTCCAAGTACTTTCCCTCTTTAAGATCATGTAATAATATAACTAAAACCTTGCACTATTTCTTTTGTTTGGAATCCTCTCCTTCCAAATCTTCATATGGCTAAGTTCCTCACCTCCTACTCATCATTGTTCAAATGTTACCTTCTCAATGAGGCTGACTGCAACCATCCTGATTCCCTCCCACCTTCTCCCACTCTCTTATGACATCTTTTGCAAAGCCTTTATTGCTCTTTAATAGAGGCAGACTTTTCTTACTTGCCGTGTCATTGTTTGTCAGTCTGCCCTTCCCCTTACTATGAGAAAGTAATCTCACAAGATGTTATGGTCTAAATATTTGTATGCCCCCAATATTTATAAGTTGAAACCTAATCCCGAGTACAGTGATATCAGGAGGTGTGGTCTTAAGGTGATTAGATCATGAAAGCTCTGCCTTCGTGAAGGGGATTTGAGCCCTCGTAGGGAAGTCCTGAGGGCCTCCACCATCTGAGGACATACAGCCAGTGCCATCAATGAGAAACATGTCCTCATCTGACACCAAGTCTGCTGGTACCTTGGTCTTGGATTTTCCAGCCTCCAGAATGGCAAGCAATATATTTTTGTTGTTTATAAACTGTCCAATCTAAGGTATTTTGTTATAGTGGCCCGAATGAACTTAGACACTAGGGCAGGAGTACTTATTTGCATTATTCATTGGTGCCTTAATATCTGTAAATGGCCTAACACTCTAGGTGCATAAGAAATATCGGTTGAATGAATGATGGAAGAGGTAGAGAAGTGGTAGGAAAGAGGAGAGGAGAAAGAGATAGGAAGCAAGGAAAAACAAAAGATGTTACATATGATGACATGGTTTAGCAAAGTGCATGTGAGGGCTGGGAGTATAGCTCAGTGGTACAGCACTTGCCCAACATTCATAAAACCCTGGGTTCAATCCACAGCACACCTCCTTCCCCCAGAAATTAAAAAAAAAAAAAAAACATATAAAAAACTAGGGCTGAGGTTGTGGCTCAGCAGTAGAGCGCTCACCTAGGACATGCGAGGCCCTGGGTTTGATACTCAGCATCACATAAAAATAAATAAATAAAGGTACTGTATCCAACGACAATATAAAAAAAAATTACACAGAGAAGGAAACAAATCACCCAGTACAATAAACACCTTAGGGATACAGCCTGAACTCCCCAAGGCATCCAGAGGTCACAGGAAAGGATCCAGGTCATGAATACTGGCTAGTTAAGCCCATAACACGTATTCTGGTCAAAGGACAAGCCACAGGTTATTTACCCTCAGAAGAATCTGCCAGGAATGTGGAATATCCCTGAAAACTTCCAACTGCCAGATTGGCAGGAACCCTGGGAAAGCCTATACCACATGAATAGGGTTAAGATCCAACATTTTTATAAGACTTGGGCTGGAAAACAGACTTTCTTAAAAAAAAGGTTTTAAGTATTCAAACTTAGAGCAGAGGAAAATAATAGGTACCCAGAATCGGAAAACATTCAACAACACAAGAAAATGCAGCAAATGTGCTTTTACATACCCATGGCCATCAAGCCTTATATTTCCCACAAAATCGTAGAGATGTCTGTTTGGACTCTCACACTCAATTTTGCCAGAAATTCTCATCAAACTGTCAATGTCTTTGATATCGGAGGTTGCTGGTAAGCCCTGTTTAAAATTTTTTAAATAAGCAAAGAGGATGTTAAGTAAGTTGTGTTTGGCTGGGGGATTCATCCAAGTCTTAGGACTGTCTTATGAACAATTCTCTCCCATTACACAATACTCTGTCAAATCACAGTTTAGGGTTACCTTCTTTCCCAACTTGAGCACGGTTTTTAGCACAAGATTAGGGCAGCTTTTGTGAAAGTACTAAAGTATAAACTAGTCTACAAAAATATTTTGAAGCCTCCAAGGAGAAATTTCTTTCCTAAAGTGAAATTAATGTTTAGCACTATACAATCTCAGTCTGCTGAAACTGACTTTTGTTTCCTGCTAGGATGGTATGAAAAGGAACTGTAGCAATCTAAGCTAATATTAAACCACAAGGTGAGTGAGTTTCAGAATAACAAAGAAAGCTGCAGCTTTTCAATATGGCAAAGCCAAATAATAATTTGGGCCAGTTGGGTAGGAAAAATAAATAAGCTGCCACATGTCAAAGCACTTAGAACCACTATGATTATTATTACCCAAGTGTTGGCTATTACATAAAATATATTACAAATAGTACTTACATGATGAACTATATTTAATCAGTGAGTGAATCTGAATATTCCATTTACTTAACACTGGTTTATGAAACCTCAATGAGCAAGTGGTACTTGGACAGAATTACCTCCCCTCAAGACAGTAATACTAAGAAAGAAGCTTTTCATTCCATGTACTAAAACAGGAATAAGTCCATGAATCTATATCAGAACTTACCTGTCTAATTTTCAAGTTTGTTTCACCATCTAGGTTGGATGTCTCAATGTAGCACATGGCCTGGGGCTCACTGTTGTTTAGAATTGAGAAGCACAAAAAGATTTAGTGGGAGAAAGAAAGCAGAATATTTACATGTTCAGACTCACCAAAGCCTTCTGTTCTAGGCAAAGCTAGAGTCACCTAGCTTCTAGGTGATTTTTCATTCCAACAGCAAGATGCTGTGAGGCAGAACCCATGCATGACAAATCATGGCTCAGCTTTCCAGCCAGAAGGACCCCAAAGCAATTTCCTGACAACACTCACTAATGGCCTTCAAGATAATGAAATGAGTAGATCTGTCACGTTATTTTTAAATTGTTCATCCATATAGACACAACACAGACTGTATCTGAAATGTAAAGTAGTTTGTGCCCAGATTTATCTTTAGTTCAGAAATATCAAGGAAGATTTCATGTTCATGGCCCACATGTAAATTGGTTAAGCAAAGTAGCTGATTAGAAAATTCCAGATTGCTACTTCTATAAGCTTGCAATTTTTTTCACCTTTTAGTTATAATAATAAATAGTATCATACGGAGCATATCATATTAAAAATTTAAGCCTCCTTTTAAAAGCTACATGGACAGATTTTACAATAAAAGTGGACAATATTTTTCTGCCTCTATTTTTTCCTCCCTCTTCAAAGTGCTTCAGAGATAACTGAGAAAGGAAAAGACAAAACTAAAATTGGCCAATTTGGCCTTATTGCTCTTTGTCTTAAACCTAAAAGAACCACTTTCTGAGTCCCCAACAAAGTGTTTCAGTGAAGTCTGGCGTGCAGTGGCCTAAGAGCTTTGTTCTTCAGTTTTACTGCAGATGCTATATCCCTGCAGTAAAAGCTATGTTCCCCTCCCATGATACTTTACTGCCCAGCAACAATAGACATGTGAGTTGGTTGTGCAGCTGGACAATCTGATCCTCAACTCTATGGAAAACCGTTCTGAATTCCAATCTCAGTAGCATACATTAAAAGCCTAAATTGCTGTCAGGTAAGCAGTTACGAATATAATTTCTTATGAGTGTGTGCAAAGCTTCCAAAGAAAGAAATTTGCAAGTCACACACACCTGGAATTTTCTAATCAACTTCCAATTTGTACATGTGCAAAAAGAAACTATTCCACAATTTCATAGCCTAAAGATTTGTGGAAACTACTTAAACACATGGACATTAATCCAATATTTGACAGACTCATTTTAAAGTAACTGCAAGTTTTCCCTATGGGGTCATTCAAAAAGGCTACTCCTTTTTCCCAACTGGAGAAGTCTTCCAATGTTTATATTTTCTATCAATTATTCAAAACTTTACTTCTTAAATCACTGTCACAATAGTAATTTGGTCCTAGCAACTGCTTCAAATTTGTGACTTACTTATATATCCATTTGGAACATTAAATGATTTATGAAATTATAAAACACATCTTTTGATAGAAGAATGATCACAAACAATGCTAAATGACAACACTGATTCTACATTCTGGTGATAAGATGCATTGAAATTTACTGATGATACACTTATCAAAGGCCAGTCTCAGAATGAGTGAGAATAACATTCTATTTTTTTTTCTCACAAAACAGATTTTCCAAGACTTTAAATAGCTAAGAAGTTATGAAGCTTAAATGGATGATTTCATTTGAAGTGGGGCAAATAAATATGCATCCAAAGTCAGAACATTCTTAATAACCACTGAAGACAGCTGTGAGGAAAGCAATTCTTAACAGTGCTGTGAAAAGGCAGCGAGAAGTCAGGAATCATGCCAGATCAGAAACACTTCAGCAAATACGATCACATCCAAAACACAAACTACAGTCAGAGAGGCAAAGCAGGCGTCTTGATTAGTAAGTGGAAATGAAACAAGATGCAAATCACAATACAGACACTAGGAGACGGCTGAAGTTTATCACAGGAACGTGCACATTGTCACGAGTTACAAGTGGGATTAAAAACTGGTCCCAAAGCATGCGGTACAAAAGGTACAACATCCAGCTTTGTGCAGGGGGTCCTCTGTAAACCCTATTTAAACCCAAATTACAGTCATAATCACTACAGGTATTCTATGGAACTTTTAGAAAATTTCGAATATGAGAAATAAGAACGTATTTAAGAAATACAATCAATTTTCCATGGCTATTTCAGGAAAAGCTTAACACTGTTCAAAACAATATATTGGCGAGGTAGTAAGTTAAGCTTCTGTATTGAGGCATGTTGTTAAATATGGCTATTATTAATGATGCATAGGAAATTAAAATCTACCTTCACTGCATGTCTCTTGGACTCCTATCAATAACAATAGGAGTTAAATTGGCCTAGTTGAGGCACAGACATCTTCCAGTATGGTATTCATAAAATGCTTTTAAAACATCTGTGAAATGTCCATCACCAAGAATATAAAAAAGTTAATTTAAAAGAAAGAGACACAGAACTCAAGCATATTTGGGCGCAACTGTTCTCTGGTTTAGGGTGAGGACCCTCTTACACATATCCTGTACAACTCAGTGGCTCTAACCTTGAGGACAGACTGATGAGATCTGCTGGGAGATGTTCCCCATTGGTCACTTTCACTATTTCCCCTACTGCCACCTACATGTCCCAGTTTAAAATAATTAAAGTGGGGGAAAAATGAATAACAGAGAAGAAAAAAACAAACAAATGGACAAAAGAGACAGAGGTTTGAAATTATTATAGAAAATAATACATGTTAATAAAAATGTCTAATGCCAATTTTTTCAAAACTTATTTTGATCAGGTCTGAAAGCATAAGAAAACATTTAATAAGGATTACTTATTTGCTTTTAAAACCAAATTTCAATTTTTAATGCAAAAACTTCCAATTTTTAAAGTTTACATATAAGCATTTCTTAACAAATTGAATAAAAACACTTCATATAAAGAGCTACTCTAACTTATAGATCTTACTTTACCTAATTCCTTAATCTCATTCCTTCTGCTGTAGATCTCATACTATCCAAAAAGCAAAGAAATCATTGTGGAAGTTATTTTTTAGGTTTTGAAAAGCAAAGCATACTATACTAGCTTCCTCCAACCCCAACACACTAAAAAAAAAAAAAGAAAAGAAAAAAGAAAAACTTTGTTAAAAATACTAATTCAAAAATATTTTTAAAGTTAATTGTATAAGTATTGTATTACCTTTAATGCAAAAAAGCAAAGATATGGGTTTTAGGAAATTAGAAGGTTTAATTGTAGCATTTGGAGTTATCTAATAACAAAGTCTAGGTAATACATTGTGGTTTTGGGCAGTGGTGGGGCGGGGGAATGTAGGGAGGAGTTTAAGCCTTTGAAACGAGAGAAACATTTTCAGGGAGGGCATGAAATAGACATACTAAGAATATATTTGGACTTGAATTTAGCTTGAGTTATTTTACTCTATTTTATACTTTCTCAATGCATAAATGTATTATACTAAAATTTCAGTTTCTCCATTTCAAAAGTGAAACACAGTTAACTTTCAGCCATGTTCATGCCTTTTTTCAAACTAATTCACAGAAGATGCACTATAATTAAAAATGAAAAACATTTAGAAATATTATAAGCAATTGTTTATTCTTACTGCTTAACAGTGCCCACTTGCTGGTGAAAATCAGCATGTACTTATTTTGACAGTGGACAGTGTTACATAGTAAAGATAATCAGGAATATCTCAACTTTGACTTAGTCACTGAAGTAGCTAAATGTAAAACAATGTCGAAATTTCTCTTTCTATTAAATGATAAAAACTATAACCTAATTGTTAAGGTTAATGTAGTCTCAAAGAGCTACATAAGTAAACCAACATGCCAGCTGAAAGGTGGTATTGTGATTCTGAGGAGAAATGTTTGCTTGGTAGCACAACCTTTATATTACTAAATAACCAAAAGCAATGGATCAGATAATCTGTTAAAAATATGATAATCTTTGGAGGAAAAACATAAAAGCTATTTTGATCTACTAATATTGATAGCCACTAGGAAATATTTTCAATGTTTAGAAAACAAATTCTATAAAAATGCTCTAAAGTTTTAAAAATAAAGGTTAAATAGCCTTTATCTGAAATGACTGGGACCAGGAGTGTTTCAGATTTCAGAGTTTTTCACATTTTGAAATATTTGCATAGAATTTTCCATTGAGCATCCAACTGTACAAGCACAGAGCTTGCTGAGGCGCTTCTGGGACTGCATTAAGAAAGATGACAAATGTTTTTTTAAAAAATTTCAAGTTAGAATTAAAGTCAGGGCAGGATAGTCTGGCAGACAAAAATAAATACTGTACATGAATGGCTCAGCACATATGATTCTAGCGTAATGTCTTGAAGAGTTTAATCAGGAAAACATCAGTACTTTCTTAATTGCTAGAAGACTTCACCATCACTTTGATCTTTCTTATATACATATAATATCTAGATGGCCAATCATTACCACATTTATTATTTAATAACCATTAAATGTACATCATTCTATTAGGTACTCTGAAAGTTCATCAATTAAAAAAAAAAAGAATTGGGGAACATCAGGGCTTGATCACTTAGTCTGTCTTCCTCTATGTGAAAAGATGAGACTATGTAGTTTGTTCAGAATCACCAAGCCAGGAAAAGGATTCTGGTTTTCTGACTCCTAAGTAGAGCTCCTTTTAACACCCAATATTACTCAGAACCTGAGACAATGGCAAGGAAATCACCCTTAAGTTTGCTATCATATGGCCAAGTGTAGACAGAAAGCTTTACTTCAGTTTTAGAAATTTTACCTCTACAAATAGTTGTAAGCAAAGAAAAGTAAGAACAGAAAGGCTGATTTTAAAAAAATCCATATTAATTTTTCTGAAAACAAAAACCCATCTGTATGTGGCACAAAAAGTAACTGACTATAAAATATGGAAATAGAACCACCCCTAGCTTTTTCAACTACCTATAGACTTACTTCTGTAAATATCTGGGTAATTCTTCTTGCTCAAGTTTCACTAGCCTGTCATAAACCCAATCACTTTGAATCATGACCTGATTAAATAGGTTTTGAAAAAAGAACACTCCATATTTACATATGGATATTACAAATAAAACTGTCCAAGGAAATGATGATAAACAACCTCTAAAACAGTAAAAACATTTCTACTTAATTTATATTAGGACTAGTTTTACAGTTTTTAAACATAAAACCATTTGAAAATCACATTCTTTGAAGGGTAACTGCCATATGTTCTGAATACTAATTTATGACTATCTTAAATACGAGTATAACAAAAATTGTCTAAACTCAGTAACAGAAAGAGTTTAAGAGAAAGAGCAAGTACTTAATTTTTGGTTGGAAGAGGGTGGCATTTTGAAAGGTGTGATGGCAAAAAAAAAGAAATCATTCATCCATTTTCTTGTGCCATTTCACCACAAGGATCAAGAAACTTTGCAAAGATATATGAACACATCATAAAGGAATTTATGATGAACAAGGATCAAAAGATAAAATCAACAGAACCCAATCAATGGATTATATAAAATAAATGATCAGAAATTTAAAACAGTAGTGGTCCACACACATGAATCTGGACATATCCAGAGGAAGAAAAGACTCTCAATTATAATTTTAACTTTTGGATTATATAATAATACCTGTTATTTATTTTATATGGCAAACATGAAAGAGCCCTTTAAGTCCAATCAAATTTTTAAGAGCTTTAATTAAAAATCATTGGAGAGGTTTAAAATTCTTCGTTTATTCTTTATTTCCTTGGAGAAATCACAAGGTCAATGCAGGGTAGAGAAACCATCCTCTACACTGTTTGAGCATCAGTAGGTATCTCTACCTTGATGAGAGAAGTACAGTGTCAGCAGGTATATACTCTTTGCCTTTTATTATAACTATATCTCCAACATTTACCTGAAAGAAAACTGGGAATTGGTTAATTATCTGCATAGAAAGATAGTTACAAATACACAACCCATTGTATTTAAGCACAGAATACAGGAAAAAATGGCTATTGGCAAACAAGAACCACTGGTCTTCACAAAAATGGCAAAAAACTGTCTAGGAGTGAGGCCAGAGATGGGAGAATCCTTTAAAAAATGAACACTGTATCTTTGCGCTTTTTTTCAGTTATAAATAACTTATCTTAATAAAATCAATGGATCCATTTTACATACTTCATTGACATCTCAATTTCTCATATTCTCTCTCTTTGACATAAAAGTAAAAGGGAGGAATTCAGCCACTAAAACTTTACCCTACTTAAGGAAATCTCCACTTGACTGGAAAAATGATCATATAGGTGATCATTACCTTTTACAATGACCTCTAGGAAACAAGTATTAGTTGCTATTCATAATTTAGAGAGGAAGAAAATGAATCTGAGATTCTAATATTTGCTCAGGATCAGTGAGTGGAAAAGCTAATGCACATCTGACTACCTGATTATTGGCAAAGCTTCATGTTTACACTAGTAAATTTACTGAAACTATCAATGTAATTCATGTTAAAAATAAACAGCCTAATCTCTTTATTTTCCAGTGTGTTAACATTTTCTTTTCTGAGCATGGCATGATGAAAAATTAAAGATGACCTATGGCCAGAACTTGAAGTAATTTAAGTGTCAGGTCTGTTATGCAGCTTTTGGAAAATAATATAACTTCAACTAAGTAACAATCTGGCTTAATTCATTGGACCAAGTTATGCTGGTAGCCATTCCTATTAGATCACAAATGTAACTACTCTTACTTACATTTTCTACAGGGAAGAAAAGTCTTTTTTTTTTTTGTTAAAGATGTTTTGTTATTCCCTCTCCCTACTTATCTTTGAATTCTAAAATGATAGTTTACTGGGGGAAAGGAGACAATGGTGTCCTTGGTGGGAAACATAAGAAATCATTCCAGAGGGGACCCACTCTGTTCCTCTTCACATGCTGGAAAAAATAGGTTAGGGAAAGTTGTGTGTGTGTGGGGGGGATGGTGGAGTGAGAACTTCSAATCTGTAATATATGTATGCTGGTTACCCAAGTAGGGAAACTCTGGATGCCTTGACTCAAAATGACTTGTTTCAGTTGAAATTTGGACTGCCTGAAAAACTGCCAAGGACCTTGAAATTAAAACGCCCTCCCTCAGAAAAGGAAAAAAAACAAAATTTTTTTTAAAAATTAAGTATCAATGTAAACTTAAAAAAAAAAGTGCCATGATAGTATTCTAATGGCATCCACTTACAGTAAGATAATAAAAATAAATTCTCTGTAGTCATGACATTTATAGTGCTACCCAGGTTCCCATTTAATTGTTCTGCAATCACCTCCGATAGGTTAATGTTTCTTCTCCAATTAAACTATATGCTTCATAAAATCAGGACCTCATCCATCTACATCATTAGAATTGATCAGTAAGACTTACAAAAACCCTCAACTGATTGCACCGCTTCTCAACATCTTCATTCTTCATAAGACAAAAGGAGGCCTTATAGTAATTAAACCGAATAATATATTAACACTTTATAGGACACACTGTCATTACCCAGTGGCTTGGAAAACCAAGAACTACTAAATGCTAAAGCAGTTCTCACATTCCTTAAAGAACGCAGGGAATTTACTTGCCTACATTTTAGATAAATTTCTCAAAGGTATCTAAGAATTTCTTATTCCTTTGGGCTCTGAGCTCCTAATGTGGCATTCTCCTTTCCAACATAAAAGAAATGAACAAAAGAAAAAGCCAGGATGGCAAAAATGCTTTGCCTACGTATTACAATGGGAGGAACATGACCAAACAGTTTCAGTCTCCCAAATACCAAAGTTAAGGTAACAGTTTAGGCTTTTGGTTCACTTTCTCAAGTTGTTACCATGAGCAACTGTGATTGAAAATTATGAAAAAGGATGAGATTATCAAACTATAATTGAATAATTAAAAAATCAAACTTTGCCCAATTATAGGTTTTAGAATACTTATATTTTTATTAAGCATTATTTTGAGATAAGAGTCTTAATACAAAGAAAGACACATTTTATGATGGAAACTTCATGCATTAGGGCAACTCTACAAAGCGACACAGCCCACCATGCCATGCTTCCCTACGGAGTCAGAAGAATGTGTTTGTATCAGGGTTATTCACCTAAATTCTCTATTTGAATGTATCTGGAAACCTGTGAACAGTCTCAGCTGCTTCTTAATGTGAAGAACTGGTCTTTGTGGAGAGGGTGGATGAAGCCACTGCTGACATTTTTAAGAGCAGAACTGCTGTTCTTTGTCTGGGCTCCGTCATTCAACACTTTCTTTTAAAACCAGGTACTTGAAACTTAACCTTCTGCAACAGGGAAAAGACTTCAGGGCAATAACTGGAGGGATGAACCATGAATGTTTGAGAGCTAAAGTCTGCCCATCTGTGAATGACTACAAGTATGCTGTGCAAATTTTTAAGTCCTCTGAGAAACATTAAAAAGCAACCACAGCAGCCACACATTTAGAATGGCTGGGAAAGTACCCTGAAGTGAAGCCCAGCACTCAAAGGTTTCTCATATTACCCGGCATGTGGACGACACTTTCCGTGTTGGTTTACTGATTTTGTTTTTAATTGCACAAAATATTATATACACTAAGAAAAAGTCTGGTGATCTGGCTAAGCCAAACATGTCAGCTTGCTCTGTGCCTGCCCATGGGTTCAATATGCCATTTTTCACATGGCTGGTATCTCAGCACTCAGAGACCTGTTCTTTTCAACCATGATCATATTCTATGACACAGAAACTCTTACATATCTTGTTTTCTGCTATGAGCTGACTGCCTGGCACATATTATCAACTACCATTTATTGAACGAATATTAGAATTTTTTTCTGTTGCTGCCACAATGTGTAAAATCACAATTTTTACTTGTCACAAAATACACTATGTAGAATGCCATAATTTATTTTTTATACAACTACTTTAAGAAGTAGTTATTTTGTTTATAAATTATTTTAGTTATAAAATAAGAACTACTTTAGCAACGTTGCATACATATCATGTATACAAAATTGTGCTGCAATAAACATTTTTAGGTATATAGATATTTTCTCCTACATTATAATTATTTTCTTGGGATAAGTTCCCAGAATTTCTTTCTTATGTTTCTCAATATGAGTAGCCAAACTCCTAATCCACATAGTGTGTGAATGAAATATAAAATAAAACTTTTGAAATACAAGTGAACTTGTTTTTATTGAATATATAGCAGGCAAAGACATCTTTAAATTTAAATTTGCAACTTTTATTAACAGGTTGATTATTATTCTGAGTTTGGTTGTTTATATATATCCTCCTACTTATATAAATAGGAAATGAAAGTGGGCAATAACAAAGATCTTAATCTGCCATATTTGGTACAAACATTTTATATAACCTGTTTATTTATTCCTGGTAACTTCTGTTTTGTATTTGTTTTAAGATTTATGTAATCAAATACCAAAGATCTCAAGATACTGTTCTTATATTTATTAATGTTTTATTCTATTTGTATGTGATTCAAAAACAGCATTTTAGCATTTAACTATTTTATCCAGTTGGAATTTCTTTTAGCAAAGGTAGAGACTGAGCTATAAACTAAATATTCAAGTATTATTACTTGAAACTGCTGCTCTGTGATTATTAACTAATCACTTTACCAATTATTTTGCTTTGTTTAACCTTTTTCAAAGATTAAACAGACTTTAATTCAGGCACTGTATTTTACTCTATATTATTCCTATTTATCCCCTGCTATTCTATATTTGAAATATATCCACTTTCTTTTAATAACTTTCTATTACTTACAGTCAATCTTAGCACATAGTTCTTCATTTTCCAAGCTATTGTTCTATTTTTCTCTACTGTTTATTTTTGGAAATCAGATAAATTAGTCAACTTATGAGGGAAAAAATGTAAATTTCCTGAGATTATAGTATATTAATAATTTAGAATAATGGATATTTTAATTTTTCAAAGAATATGACATCTTTGTATATATACGTGGATCTTTAATACCTTAAGGATGGATGATTTCTTTACAAAGGTCATACATATGTTTTAAAGTTTATCTGTGAGTATCCCACACGCCAGTGGGAAGAAGACCTTTTTTCCCCATATCACCAACACAAGAATACATTAATTTTGAATTTATGACCAAATCAATTTTCATGAGTTATAGTTAATTATCTAATTCTAGTTATTAAATAACTTCAGCTCATTTTATCCGGGTGGCTTTGGGTGACTTAGAATCTGATCCTCTCAACAAGTGATGCCCACATTAAGTGTGGCATTGATCTCTAAGATAACTGAAAAAACTACCCTGATGGGTAAACATGGCTGGTGATCTAGTATTTTTTTCTGTCAAAAATTAACAAAGTGGGCTGGGGCTGTAGCTCAGTGGTAGAGAGTGCCAGTCTTGCACGTGTGAGGCACTGGGTTGTATCCTCAGCACCACAGAAAAATAAGTAAATAAAGATATTGTGTCCACGTACAACTAAAAAAATATTTAAAAAAATTAACAAAGCATTACAACCATCCATGTAGAGTAACACATTCTTGAAAGATTGGCTGCCCACTAAGCAATTTTAAAGGCTAATTTTAGAGTGAAGTAGTAGATGGTTATCTCCTGACTTTATCACTTTATTTACTCAGCAAGAAGTCTAGGTAAGAAGATAATAAACTGATAAGTTAATTTCTTAGGACGTGCATTTATATTAACTATACTGACAATGCCAGTAATGAAAATATAATACAATTCAAGTTATACTTAATTATATCCTGTCTTTTCTCCAAGATGTTTAAATCCACAAGTGCCATACAAGACCCTTAAAGAAATTTACTTTGGAAGTGCTTTTTACACCTTTGGTTTTGTTTTGCTCTTCCTAAACAGAGATAATTAGGACAGAAATAATGAAAGCACTATCAAGGCATTATCCTCTTTGTTACTGTTATGTCAAAGACCAAAAAAGAGAGATGAGAATTTTCTACTATCCAGAAGAGGAGATGTCTAGCAACTGATTTAAAAATTAATAAAAATGCAATGAAGCTTTTATTGAGGGGTGAATCTGTGCAGGGACACCAAGTAACCATAAAAACCACAAGGCAGGATCAAACACAGGATTTAAATCGGCTGAGAAGAAAATGGAGTACAAATAAATTGATTGTGGGCAACACCTGTGTTGTCCTAGCAGGATACTGTCTCGCACCCCTCGTGTCCTGGCAATCCCAGGAAACAAAGTCCCCTTGGCAGACTGGCCTGGCCTCCAAAAAGTCATTTACCAAGTTACATAGGCTGTTCATCTGTGGGTGACTAGAGAGTCAATCTTTCAGAACTAAGGGAGAATTAATAATACTCGCTTACCTTTTGAAAATGAGGTCTGAAAACGAACAGCTGGATAACATTTGTTAAATTATGACTCAGTTCACTAACTGCTGTGCTAGAGGTTCTATGAGCCAATTAACTTGTGAAGTCATGTCACTGATTTTGAGTTCACTGAACAACAATGCTTAGGCTTTATGACTTTTTTTTTTAAAGAAATTAGTTGTATTTGAATGTGATCACTCTCACTTTATGAATTTGAGGTAAAAAAAATACAAATGTGAAATATCAGAACCCTAACATTTATTTTACTTGGACAGTAGATGATTAAAGCAAAATTTACGAGACAAAACAGCTCATGGTTAAATAAAATCTATGAAAAGAGCACTCAAAACACCTCAAAACATACTATGAGAGAAATAAAGAGTTTTAGATATTACTTTTTTAAAATAATCATCTTTCTAGAATAGAGCAGAAATGCTAAATAGATGTGACTAACTGAAACTCCATATGTATAGTCATAACATCAATTAATAAATTGCTTTGGTATCAGTGGAATTCTTGTCTTTTGCTTATATCATATACAAAAATTTCATCTACTAGATACACCTCTATGCATTTCTTCTCCTGGAACAAAATAAAAATCAATGCATACCTTTTCCCAGTGAACAATTTCCCAAGCACCATTTCTCAAAACTGGAAAGAGAAAAGGTGACATTTTTAAGAACAGTTTTCACTACCTAAGAAAAGGCTACTTATGATGAAACAGTCATTCAAATGAACAGCTTCAAATTAAATAGCTAGTAGCAATTTTACAGGTTTAAAAACTAATTAGGATAATAAGGATATGTAAAATTATGGAAAGAAACACAAACTTCTAATGTCAATTTCAGCTGGCACAATGACCTGTTATTAATGGAGGGCCATCTCGTGAGAGTCACAAAACTTTCCTTCAGCCCAAAGAGGAAGTACTACATTGAGCTGGGCTGAAGGAGAAAACATGTGCAAAAGGGAGGGACACATTTCAGACGTTACAACAGCAGCAATGCTTTAAAAAAAAAAAAAGAGTCACAAGCAGGTAAGTAATGGATTTTTTGGGGGTGGGGGTGGGACATGGGGCATGTACCAGGGACTGAACTCAGGGGCACACAACCAGCTCATTCACCACCATCTCAACTTCTAACTTAACTCACTAACTTCTACATAACTTCCAGATCTTGATTTGAACACCACTTTCTCAGGGGACCTTTTGTGGACACCAGTTGTTTGCCCTACCCCCACGTCTAAATGGGCCCCCATGCACTTTGCCTTCTGAGCATTTACTCCAGATCTTCTATACATTTAGTGGGGAGAGGACTACTTAATGGCTGGTGGCTCCCCGACACCATTCATTTCACGACAAGGGAGCTGCTCTGCTCTGCTCACGCTCATTCCTGGTGGCACCACACAGCAACACAAAGGCGCTCAGCGAGAGCACTTGCTAGATGGAATGCTGGACTCGCTAATATGCCTGTGTGTTTGAGACCATATGAAGCCAAGCCATGGAAATAGCAACACAGATTTACTAAGGATAAAACTCCTCTCCCTAGTAGATCTCATGTTAAAAACAACATGCAGATGGCTTTGAACACACAGCTGTAGAGGCAAACGCTTTGGCAATTCCTAGAAGAGTTCATCACAGAGCTACCACAGGCCCAGAAATTCCACTCCTAAGCATATACCTGAGAGCCTTGAAAACATGTTTCATATAAAATTGTACAGGAATGTTCAGTGCAGCAGTTCTCACAATAGCCTCAAAGTGGAAACAACCCAAATGTCCATCAACTGATTAACAGATAAGCAAATAGATCCATTCAGTGGAACCTTAGTTAGCCAGAAAGAGGATGAAGTGCTGACAGCACAACATGGATGAAGCCTGAAGACAGGCTGAGTGACAGAAGACAGACACGAAGGGCCACCCATCACATGATCTCACTGATAGAAAACATCCAGACCAGACGAATCCTTGGAGACAGAAGGCAGATTAGTGGTTGTCAGGGCCTCCAGGAAGGCGAGGCTAGAAACTGACGGGCTCTGTGTAGTGAAAATGTTCTGCAGTTAGGCAGTGGTGATGGGCACATAATCTTGTGAATGCACCAGAGGCCACTGAACTTCATGATGTAACATGGTGAACTTTATGGTTTGTGAGTTTTGACTGAATGAAAAAATAGCTATAAAAAGATGCCGATGGACGATTTAAACATTTGTTTAAAATGGACTTCTCAGTTTTATAAGTTACTCAGATTTCCCGTACTGTGCCAGCAGTTGCATGTGGTTACGTGACCATGAGGTACACGGACATGCTCCAGTCCCTGATGCCAGCTCAGGCCCACCCCTTCTAGCTCTGCCATCGAAACTCATCCTCTATGCTGCCACTTCACAGATGTTGGCTAGTTCACATCTAAAAATAGCCCTGACCTACTCATTGGTTCCACTCAACAGGACAGAAGTGTCACAACAGGCTTCTCAGACCCAACAGACAGAGCTTAAAAGGAGTCTTGGCTCTACTCTGCATGGTGGATGCCAGTGGCACTTTCACGGAAGACCACTGAGTGTGGTTCTCCAGACCTGCTTCCCAACTCTATCTTCTGAACCTGCTCTTTTCCTCTCAGCCTCACACTGATCCGTTCTTCCTCCACTTTCTAATCTGTTTGCCTCCTTCCCACCTGACCTTTCTCAGATCTCTGCCTCCACCCAAACAGTACATTCCACCCTCCACACAAATATTTCCATCAATCCATTATTGGAGAGAGAAACTGGAAAAAACTTAGCCTCCTGCAAAAATTTACATCTAAGAAACTTTTAAATATATAATCAGTCTACGATGCTTTCTATCAAACTACAAAATCAACATGTGTCCAACAGTATGACAGAGGGACAGAAAGGAAAAGCTGACAGTCTCTCTTCATCTCATTGCCACGTTCTCAAGGTTAGGAGTGCTAATAGATGCACCATTCCCCAGATAATGGTGGACAGGCTTGCTTTTTTTCCCATTCATTTTTGAATTTTATTTCTCTGCAACTTGTTTTTTCCCCTTAACATATAATACTTTAAAGGACAAACTAGAGAGACTTAACTCATTTTTTGACTTCACTCAATCATACTGCATGGTATAGATGTGTCAATGGCAATGGGTTGGAAAACTGAATGGACTCACGGGACTCCACAGGATGTATTCACAAAAGGCTCTCATGGAGGTAGAAAGATGTGTGTACAGAAGAAAAGTGGAAGTCCAGAAAAGTACTGGGGACCTAAGAAACTTCTAGGCACAGCCCACCAGGGTCCTTCTCATTCACCTAAGACATACATTTTGAACTTCCAGGACACGTACAAGACATAATTTCAGGGAAGCCTGAGCGAAAGTTTCCAGCAGGGTCTCTAGTCAACTAGTCAAGCCAAACTGTATGACTGTTTAAGCCAGGTACACCATCAATCAATATACATCCTTAAACTAAGCAGAAAAGCTAGTCTTGGCTCTTCCAGGGGAGTTTCAAACCTTAAACAGCACATTATAAATCTCCGGCTAGTCTGTCTTATCCTTATTGTGGTCAAGGTTTAGCATGTGACTTCCAGGTACCCCCGAGATAATAGCTGTATCATAGGTCATTCAACTATTCTCTTGATGAAATTCTGGTTTTCTCCTTTTTTCCTACCACCACAAAGAACACTGAAATATATTTACATGATTGTATCTTATAGGAGTAAATCCTGTAAGAAGCATTGCTGGCTCCAGAGTATTTTTGTTGATACTTTTATCAGATATAGACTACTTCTTTAGGAATCTACAGCAATTTCTCTCTCACCAGCAACATACCAAGTTTCACTGACTATAGAACCAGATATGTACAATCACTTGGATTTTGTCAATCTGATGAGTATTTGGTATTAACACTGGAGCCTGCAGTGGCTTGGATTAATGAAGGTATATATCACCTTTAGGTCCCTCTGCTGAGACCTAAATAGAATCACTTTTTTTTTTTTTAAAGTACTTGTTCTCTGGGTCTGTAGGACCTGTGTTGCTCAGAAGCTTGTTATAAATGAAGAGGTGTTTCTAATCCACCACCCCCTCCACCCCACACCATTAATTTTGTTTTTGAAATACAAAAACCAAACTCAGAAACCAAGAAAGGAAGTACACAGCTTCTCCAGACTTGACCTTAGACCAATTTTAGGATACAGAGAGCAGTACAGGATTCCAGTGAAGTTAAAAATCTGCACAAGACTTAAACACTGGCCAAGGACACACATGAATTCCAGGAGTCAGTGTTATCTTTCTTTTGGATTTGGTGCCTAAGCATCCAACTCTTAGAACAATGACAATAAACATCATCCTGTGTAATCTGCTGGCAACTGAAATAGCAACCTAGTTTATTTTTAACCAGTGACCTCCTGTGACCCAGTTCCAGCTAGTGTCAAGGAAGCAGGGAACAATGCTGAGTCCTTTGCTGAGACTTGCTTTCTTGGGACAAAAGTTCATGGAGCTTCTACTCTGCTTCTGGAGGAAATGATGAAGGATGCTGGTGAAGGGGAACTGGAATGTGTGGGGACAGAATGGCCTGTCTAGGTGCTTTGGCAGCTCATGCTTTTAAATGCAAAAACTCCCCCACCACTCCCCAGTTGCATCCAAACACACCTGCTTTAGTTTCCACACAGCCAAATTAGTCTGACAGAATGCCTGCGAGGGCTCAGACATTCAACAAATACCTCAAAGAGAATCTGTTTTTACTTAGCAGAATACTAGTTGGCAGCTTTGTTGTAATGGGTTTCTTTTGTGAAGTGAAAACATTCTGTTTGGAGTACCTTGGGCATTCTGTTAGAGTACCTCTCAATCAAAAGCCCTGGATGAAGTGGCCCTCTCAGTACTCAATCCAACACTGCCAGGTGCAGGTGCAGGTGCTCATTTACATTCTCAGAGAGTGTCACAGCCCAAGTCTCTAGGCAAAATGGTCTGTCACTAGGGACCTCACCCAAAGTGCAACAGGTCTTGGGCAACGGGTCACTTTTTAAGTGGGAAAGGAGAGGCAAGTTATTCAAAAGGATGCCCCAGAGAGCAGAAAAACTACAAGAGGAATAGTGTGCTCCAATCCTGCCTAGAGTCGGCATTTGAGAGGAATTTTACATCACAGGAGAGTACAGCTGAGACTATGGTTTTGATCCGAGCATCCGAGCAAAGAAAGAAAACCGATATACCCATATAAACCATTCATTAAAGAGAATCTTACTTCCAAAGATAGTTTTAAGGTAAGAGCCTCACTGAGCCACAAATTGACATTGCACAAGACTGTCTTGTGTAAACTTGTCTATAAAGGTCAAATTAAATCACAAGGAGCTTGGCTGAATCATTATCATCTACTGACACAGAGAACAAAGGGGAATTTCCTGAATTCCTCTCTCTTGACTCTGTTGTTCATGTCGGTATTAAATCAGTTGATATTCCTTTGAACTCATCTATAAAACTTTTACAAAGGCTCCAAAGTGTGGGCCCTCACCAGTACCACCAGCATCTGTGAACATTTCTTAAGAATGAAATTCTGGGGCCCCGTTAGAGGCCTGAAGAAATTCTAGGGTGACTCCCAGGAATAGTCTATGTTTTAATGAACCCTCCTGGGCATGGTGAGGCACGTTCAAGCTTAAGAACCAGTGACTCACAAGAAGAA